TCAAAAATAGTGTCCGTGTTCAGTTTCGAAAATAGTGTGGTATTCGTGTTCAATTTCAAAAATAGTGTAGTACTGGTGTTTAGTTTCAGAAATAATTAGTTTTCAGTTTTCAGTTTTTAGAAATAATGTTCAATTTCAGAAATAGTTTAGTACTGTTCAAATTTTAAAATAGTATAATAACGTCCAGTTTTGAAAATAGTGTAATAGCGTTTAGTTTCAGAAATAGTGCAAGTGATGAGCGCGCTCGTTAGCTTTTTATTACCTTTTTTGCATTTTATTTCTTATTATGATAAACTTTTTGTTTTCATTAAAATTTAAGTCATTTTCATTATAGTTTAAATCATTTTTCATTAAATAAAGTTATAAGATTTTTTTTGTTAAAATAAACTTAACTCAAACTCTTTTCATTAAAACTCCCAAACTAGAATGCATTTAGAGATACCAAGAAATTTGAATTTTCATTTCAAATTTTTTTGAATTGTTTCGAACTTATTACGATAAAAAAGTATTTGGATTTTTCTTTTTAACTAAAATGTATTTTGTAATCAATTTTTGTATTTTATTGTTAGTTCTGGATCTATCATACAATTTTATTTTAAAAAGGATAAGCAAGTAGCATACTACACAATTAATTGGATTATAAATAAGCATATACCAAATATTAAGAAAGACCAAAAAATTGTATGCACGCAGAACTTTACAAAATTTTTAAAAAAATGTCATTTATATAAATTTCTTAATTATATTCCAAAATTTTATAGATCACTTTATTATAAAAAATTCTAAATCTAACATGTAACAATTCGTCCCTAATTTTACGACTTTATTAATTTTACATGAGTGAATTGACCAAAATGCCCTAGAGGTGAGATTGTTGACTTTCATTGACCATCATTTCGTGACACGTATGAGCTATTATTTTACCATATGCTCGAAGTACTTGTCAATACGAACTTGTGGGTGCAAGTGGAATTGAACTTTAAGTTATAACAAAGATTCTACGACCTTTGAATGTCGAGGGTACTTTGACAAATTGTGTTTGAACACATGTTGCATTTAGGGTGCCACGTGGGGCCCACCCCTAATTTTCTGGAATGCTCTCTTTTTTCTCTTTGTTTCTCTCATCTCTCTCTACAAACTCTCTTCCTTTGTCCCATGAAAACACCACCACACCCAATTCGTTTTCAACGAATAATCACCATATTCTTGTTCATCTCATTCCCACGAACCCAGCCATGGGTTTTGTTTTATGAAAAGCCGAAGAAAAATCGAGAAATCACAAGCTTTAAACAGACCTCGAGTTTCTTGTTGATTCCGGCCAAGATAAGGTCTCTAACCACCATAATTAGATTCGTCTCGTCGAGTAGATGAATTTTCATATTGGGAACATGTGATCTGGTTACAAAAAAACAAAGATATCGCAATTCAAAGTTTTTTCAGTTTTCAAGCGAACTTACCCATTTTCCGATAGACCAATCTTGTTCTACACTTTCCTAGCTTCACTTTGATATATTATGGGTCAATTTTGGTTGAGAAACGAGTGAGATATCGTTGTTTAAAATTTACCTAGACATTTGACCATTTTGGCAGTTTCCGACGACCGGCAATCAAAATAAAAAAAAAAAAGCCTAAACCCGGATTTGACCCGGTCCATTTCAAAATTTGACCGTTAACTTTAATAGAATATTCCATTTAAGGATAGAATATTTCGTTAAAGTTAACTATTGACCATTAGTTGGCTTTTGTTGATTTTTTTGAAATTTTCTCAGAAACTCTTAGGCTAATTTTGACACCCCAAGTTCATTTTTAGCATCCATATAGTGAAATTTCAAAGTTTTAATATAGTTGACTGCCGGGGCTTCTCGGTTGACTTTTTGGGTTGGCAATTGACTTTTTATAAAATTTGCCCATGATCCTTCTTAGCGTATTTCGACATGCTGATTTAGAATCTGCCGTTTGTTTCTACAAATTCAAATGTTTTAATTAGTTTTACTAATGGGCCTCTATTATGCTTAGGTACAATTAGCATCAACGAACCATGTTTACTCGTCCGAACAGCTGTGACATCGCAAGTATCTGTGAGTAGGTCTTTTCTTTCATAAAGTGTGTGTGTGTGTGTGTGTGTGTGTGTGTGTGTGTGTATTATTTGAATTTCCATACATATATTAATAATGTCTTTTCTACATAATGGTATAATTAAATTGACGTTATAAGAATTGGCGAAATGATGAAAATTACGAAATTATTCTAAATTATGCGGGATGCACAAGTATGCATACTAATATGAGATGCTTTAATTACACTTGCAGCCATGAATATTGTTATGGTGGACTAGAATTATCGATTTACCATTATATGATCATAATTATAGTATCTGCTCATCATGTGCTACACAGGTGTTTGTAAACTTTGTACTTGCCCAGTTAGGGTCAGGTTTCACGTGTATATTCACATCGCAACGCACACTCACTTTGAATCCATTGTAGGTGCCAGTCCTGTCCTAGATTCCTTTAGCAAAAATTTGAATGAGTTTCCAAATTGTAAATGATGGGGTTGAGAAAAAGCAGCAGTAAACGATAGAGCAGAAAATCAAAGGGAATATCTCAAAGAACAATGAAGAATTGAGAAAGATGAACAACTAGAGAGAAACTTTAAAGAGAAATGAGGCTTTTGTATTTCTGAGAAAATTACTATCTAATTACAGTTGTGAGTTGCACTATCACTTAACAACCTAACAAATATTCTAACAATTTTGATTGCCGTGGCAATGATGATATAGCAACCTATATCTCTCGTCACTATTATCCTGATTTTATATATCCTTCCACAATGGTTTAAGCAGCTTGGATGAATGGAGGAAACCTAACACGGGGGCTGATAAGTGTAAGAAAATATAAAGTTTTTCAATCTAACTCCAGTGTTTTTGTTTTTCGCATCCTAAGCTGTTCTACTAAAACCTCTACAGTTATTGTGGGTAGAACTTCAATGCCAGTATACATGTAGTCACCCTTATTTTCAGATGCACATATCGCTGCCGTAGACTAACCCTATTACGAAATAGATAAATAAAAAATTGGTATGAATGTAAAAACTTGCTACTGTGGTATCCAGATTGGCCAAGAAACTTTTCTTCCATTCACAATGCATGCAGTTGAAATGAGAAACAGTTACCACCACCATGTCCAAGAAAGTTACTCCAGTAAAGTTGGTACTTATAGCTACTAGGCGCATAAGTACATGAGTACATCTTATAAGTCGCATGCATAGCACCTAATAATAAAAAATATAAAAAACCCAATACATTCAGTCTTCAACATGGAACATTAAAAGAACCAGCAGCACTTAAAGTAAACAGGAGGAATGGAGGAAATCTACAACAAAAACGATTGGACTTAAGTTCTGTTAACCACTTGTGTACTTGGAAGGAGCTGGAAATAGTGATATGTTGACATGAGGAGATGCTGGGACAGATCAGTCCCAATAGACCAATATTATAGTACTCCCAATAAGCTAGATTATTGGCTTTAGATTGCGGCAAATGAAGAACAACTTCTTGCAAGCCTGTACCTTGTTCCAGCGAAAAGCTTGTCATCTTAACTGCACTCTCAAGTTCTTCTATATCGGCCTCAACAAGAATCTACACCACATTTAGGTGACACGGGAAAGAACTCAAGGTTTGGGCTTCAGTTTTCCTAGCATTGCTCTTCAGCCAGCATTGTCCAACAAATTTTATTCCATTTCGAACTCTAGTTTTAGAATAGATAAATGAATCAATCAGATAGGTGAACTGAAAAGCACATATCGTCGGGATTTGGAAGTGGTATTTTAAAATATAAAAGCATGTTGAACTATGCCAGACCGGCCTTACCCCATTCGTTCTATTTGGGGGATATTAGAACTTGGATAGTGTGAACATTAGGAGAGCTCCTGAGGATGCATGCTAAACCAGGGATATCATACCTTTCTTAACCATAAGAATAAATATACAATCCCCTAAAAGGTAGGCCGCCTTCAAAATATATTCTCGATAAAACCTGCATAGATAAATATGCCGCATCAATTGGTCGACAAAACAAATTTAATAACAAGTCTTTATCCCGATCTATGAAGTTACAACTCTCGGGACTAGCGTCTATGGCAGCTAATTTTTCTGAAATTTAGAGTTTCGGATGTTGTGCTAATTTACCTTACACACGAAGAGACATGTTGAACATAAGAACTTTTAATTTTATTTTGTGCACCCTTACCTTTAACGGAAACTTCTATTTCACTGTTTTATATATTTTGTTTCTTCCCCAAATTGATGAAAAGAAAGAAAAATATCATTTGGAGAAATTAAACACTTGTGTTCGATATCAAATCATGTGGTTCTTCTACCATCAGTACAATCATTACAATTTGGAAACATATTCCGACAAAATTCCGATGATGGAAAAATGTTCCATCAAAACTTTCGGTGACCTTTTCCGGCGATGGGTCGGGTAGGCTTGGGTCTTGTGCAATATGGGCAAATATGTAGGTAAAATAATTATACAATCCCTACACTTGTCTTGACACACAAAGTAAGCTGGGTACCTATTTTTCCTTAAAACCTATAATAACTGGATATTTAATTCTAAATTAGGAAAGTGTTACTACCTCTTTTTACCTCGTGCACACTATTGTTAATTTATGTTATTGATCTTCTTCAATTCATTTGATCAGACGGCCTAAAATTGAGAGGGATATGTAAGAAGTAAAAATAAGTGTGTGGATAGCACTACCCCTAATTTATATTTATCTCGTTGAGTGTTGAACAAGTAATATTTGAAATGACAAGCAACTGGTGGCACATTGCTCTAACAGATAAGACCTCCATCTTTAACTTGCTACGTTCGGAGTCCAAAACCTTCCTTGCCCATCTTTAGATGATTTTTCTTTTTTTTTTTCTTTTTTTTTAATTTTGAAAGATTAGATGAATTAGTGTAGATTATCCAATTGTTTGTATAAAAGGGACGATGTAAACAAGACCAATTATTGTGGAATCAAAAGATGGAGGGAACATGATGGAAACACGATTGGCAACCCTAGCAACTATCTCCAACAGAAACATGCCATTTCTACGAAGAAATGAGACGGAAAATAATCATAAGCAAAACTCAGAAAATATTTGATCCATCCAATTATCATCTAACCTAAGAAATAAGACGGAATTTGGCTAAGGCGAAGGATTCCCAATTTAAATCTCAGAGTCATCTGGCGTCGCGGAGGAGAGAGTACTTCCAAGTTTGTGAATCCGTTTTACACAGAACGATTGGGGGAACCGGCTTCAGAACTATTCCGTACTCGCCAACTTCGCCAGGAACAAGTACAATCTTTTCTAGGACAACTCCTTGCTCAGTCAAGATTTTCACAAAATTACCTTCATCTTCTGTTCCTATATACGGTTTGATTGTAACTTGCTTGAGACTTGGGATGCTGAACTCAACTGGTTTATTTAACAACTCTTCTGGTAAACTCTCCTGGGAATTGGAAGATCAAGTTTTAGATATGCAGCACGGAACGTAAAATAGAAGGAAAAACAGTAGCAACAACGAAACATCAAGCATTGCTATAATTATATTTGTAAAAATACTCACATGTTCCCCGAACTTGAAAGAGTATTCTAGAATCATTGTCTCGAGATTGGGACAATGTTTAAGCAGCGCAGCCATGCCAATGAGATCATGCTTGGTAAACCCTGTTTGTAGCTCTAAGAGCTTCAGGTTGTAGAGCATAAAACTTTCGGGGAAGGAGTTCGTTGATGTCAGAAACTGAGGGCATATGAAAAGAAAACAATTAGGAATACATGAAGGTGTTCAACAACGTAATCCCATTAAAAACCAGTGGTTATCATATGTAGGGGAAAAAAATCCAAAGAGGCTAAGCAGCAAAAAGTGAAACTTGAAAAATCCCCCTGTTCACGGAGGTGAAAGCAAAGAGATTGACCATCTGAAAGTCATCAAAGAATTTAATGTTGCACATACGTGAGGTGAACAAAGAATTTAAAAACAAATTGCACTGCAGGCAATGAGGAACAATAAGCCGAGTGAAGTTTTACGTTTCTTGAAGACTCACCAAGGTGTAACAATGCCAGCAGCAGAAACATAAGCGCAGGATATCTTGTCTTAATAAACTTATATATTGAAACCTAATGACCAATTGCTATCCAATTCCCTCGGTCTAGACCAAATGTTTGCAACAATGAGCAGAGTTTCAACAACTACTTACCTTTTCCATCTTTCAGTCGACTCCAAGATTCGGTGACAAGCTAAAGCCTCACTTATCATTAACAATCAACGTTGTCTCTATCAATCTCACTCGAAAAAACACAGCTATACCACCAGATCCGAAAACACAAGAATTTAACCCATCTATGACTATCAGAAGCTTTCTACATGATCAGAGTACCAACCACATTGCTACATATTACTCAAATCTCTGACATAATTATAACAAACAAAAAAAAAAAAAAAAAAACACAATTAAACAACCTAAAACCACGATCGAGCTCGAAAAGCTATAATTGATCAGAACAGAGATGATAAATAAATAAAAATTACCTTAAACCACCAGTTTAGTGTATCGAGATGCTTTAGATTAGGCGCTTGTTCAATTAGCTTAAGTGCCTTGCTCCACGAGTCATAGTACTGTTCCATTATGTTCACAATCTGGACACGAAAATCAACGAGAGACGCAGCACTCTTGAGGACAACCTCGTAAAAGCTACAGCAATCGAAGCTAATCGAACAAAGATTTGGGCAATCAATCGAAAGAGTCTCTCTGATTTCGGAATCATAGAAGAACCCAAATGCCAGCATCTTGAGCCTTTTGCTACATATCTTCAAACGACGATGGCCCCAACAGTTTTGAAGCTCCAAATCCTCCAAATTGGGGCAACCCAATATCAAATCACTCATCATCTGGTCATGCAAACAAACCTCATCGAGAAGCAAGGACCGAATCGTCCAGAATCGCATGGTGGACAATTTCGCCGGCAAAGTAAGATAACACCGCGTGAGGCTCAATTTCTCAACACACCCATTTCTCAGAACAGAGAATGGGAAATCGTATCGGTGATCACGGGTTTCGTCGTTGTGAAGGTCTCTGTGGATGAAGAAGTCGAGGTGGAGCTCCCGGGCGCGGAGGTGGGTGACGGCGGATCGCACCCAGGAGTCGACGTGGGAGTGGTAGTGACCGTGGAAGATGAAGGAGAGGCGGAAAGTGTGGACGGGAGAATTGGAGCGGGAAATCAGAACGCGATCGACGAACTCGGCGTAGAACTGGCGGGTGTCCAACGGCAGCTCGCGTGTCGGGAAGAGTTCGAAATTGAAATCGAGGGAGGGGATGCGGGACCAGAGAGGGCGCCATTTTTGGGAGATGAGGGAGGTTTGGACGGAGTCTAATGTGGGGAGGAAGGCGAGGATGTGGAGGAGGAGGTCCTCCGGCAGATCGTTTAGGCTTCGGTTTTGATCGCTTGCCTCATCTTCTTCCATCTCCTCTCTCGTGTAAAATGCTCCTGCAATCGGGGAAGCATTTTTAATTGGTAATTTGCATTTTTCTACTTCCAATTTTCAGCTTTTCCTACTTCTACTCAGAATCTGTTTTGCAAGTGTTTTCGAGTATTTATCAAATATAATCAAATATTAGTTTCTAATTTTAAAAAGGTTAATTTTTATTTAAATACCATGTTTTTAAGATAAGTACGATATTTATTGAATAGAAAAATACGTACATAATTGAGGATAGGGCGTTAATAATGGATCTCAATAAAAACCTTGAAAGGCTTTCAACTCGATCAAAGAAAAAAAAAGTCTCGTACCAATTAATTATTAAGACTATCCTTGAATAATAAATCATTAATACCATCAGGAGGTTCTTCGAACCAAGAAAGTGGATGATCAAGCTTAAGACTCAACCGTGCAAGTCGATGTGCCACTTTATTCGTCTCTCTAGGTCCGAAAGAAATCTTCCATTGCTTAAACCCCTGAAGGATCTGTCGTGTATCCGCAAAGAGATGACCAAGATGACCATGCAATGTTGATCCGGCATAGCAGCTACCACCAATAGAGCATCACCTTCCATCTGTACCTGTTCCTCACTCCATCGTTGCGCAAACACAACTGCTGCCCATGTAGCTGCAACTTCTGCATGCATTGTCGAACCAATCTCACACTCCCGACTCACCATTGCAGCCATGAAACCTCCTGTGGCATTTCGAACTACAACCCCAATACCCCCATATGAACCATTCTCCTCCCAAGCAGCATCTTAAATAAACAAAAATACTCTTAAGCTTTAAACTTAATAAATTGAAAAATAAAAATCCTATTAGATGAAGAGTTCTCACGGCTAAATCTAAATAATGGTGGAGATCTAGTGAAGGCATCGAGTGTTGGTGGAGACTTGTGCACCCCTAAACAAAGGTGAGCATAGATGGTTAATTTCTTGTTTTTCTTTCTCATCTACTTTTTCTCTTTGCTTTTGTAGTTTCTCCCTTCGATTGAATATTTATCGAAGAATGAACTGTTAATCTTTGTAACGTTATTGATCTCAATTTTCCTTTAGATTATATGTGTTTCGTATTTAATTTTCCACACCTTTGCATTATTAAGGGTGTTGTCCGTGTCCGAATTCTGTTTTGAAGGTTATCATTGACTGGTAGTGAATCGAGAGACTGTTGTATTCTTAGAAAGTGTAAAAAGCATATTAGAAAGGGAAGTGTTATTGGCACTCCAAAAATCTCATTCTACACTCATCACAAGTGTATTTTTCTTTCATAATATAGAAAGTTTGGAATGTAGAATGAGATTTTTGGAGTGCTAATAACAATTCCCATTAGAAAAATTAGATTTGTTTTGTCAATGAAAGGTTATCATTCACTTACTGCTATATGAAAATAGTATATTGCCCTTCTTCATCAACTTCTTCATCTATTCCTGATTATCTTTACCATTGCTTGATGTATTGTACCATCTTCCTCTGCTTTTTCCCTCATCTCAGCAAACCCCTCTCCTGAGTCTTTTCTCACATGTCACTCTCTCTCTTTCCACTCACTTGCTATCATCTCTCAACTCTCATCATCTGTACTGCTGCAATTACTTTTCCCCATAAAGATAATTTAAAAAAAATGAAAGAGTATTTTATAATGTTGTGATATAGGTGGTGTTGATCCATGTAATCATATGATGGAAATTGTGGTAGAACCCAGACGATGATGGTGGGGTCACTTGGGAAGGAAACAAATACCTCAAAGTTATATTTAATTATTTTGAATTTTTTTTCTTTGGTCAAATAATAGTTATTCATACTATATTATTTATTTGTTTTTTTTTTTTTTTAGAAACTGAAAATTCATTACCACGTTGAAGATACCAAGATGACACAGAAAGCTTACATCGAGGCAAACAACTAGCTAGGCATAGAAAAATCTAAACAATGCATAAATTAAGGTGAACAAGGTAAACCATCATTGTTAAGGACATTAACCAATGAAGATGGAGGTCAGTCGACCCACGAAACATCGCACATCTTAAGAAATCTCGTCGACGCTAACAAGTCCATCGCCATATTGGCTGATCTTAGAATCCAAGACCAGCGACAGTCTTGGAAGGAATCCCCTAAGAGCTTGACCTTCACCAAAGTAGGGTAAGTCTCCCAGCTGCCAATCTCCAACGAATCTCTTAAGCACAAGATAGATTCGAGAGAGTTGGATTCCACAATAACCAACATGTCGCCCAAATAGATGCCCATTTGACATCCGTGAAGAAGTGCCAAGGCTTCGGCCTGAGCAGCATTCTGTGCCGTAATTGCATACCTTGATGCTGCCAAAAACTTACCCTTAGCGTCTCGCACCACCAACCCCACATAGCATGATCCATTGGATGCATTCCAGCTTGCATCAACATTGATTTTGATGAACGAAAAAATTGGAAGGGACCATTGAACCACTTGAACACAACTACATGAGTTCGAGGTTTAAGGATCCATAGGTGTGCGGGCTGCCACAAAAAATGCACCAACCACATTCGAAATGGCAAGCAGGACTGGTGAAGGATTAATTTTGATTTGGTTAAAAAAGGAAGTTGCATCTCGCCTTCCAACATGAGAAAGCAACCAAGCTCTATCCTGATTAGCCCTGAAACTGGATTTGATAAGGGAGTTAAGCCATTGTGCCCATGTCGAGATGTCATCCCTATCAACCCTATAGTTTAGCACCTCACCAAACCAGATTGTTTCCACCCACAGACACTGAAGGAAAAGATGCTCCACAGTTTCATCGCTAATTTGGCAAATTGGGCAAATCGGGGAATAAGAGGATTTCCTCTTGAAAAGATGCTCCACATGGCTTCTACTATTTATTTGTTTCTCTTGGGAATTAAAGATCTAATCAAATAGTGAAACAAGAGTTTTTGTTTTCATAGAAATTAACTCAAGTCCAAATTATGGAGGGGTTCAGGTGATGATTGATGGATCCAAAGCTTTCTCTCTCTCTCTCTCTCTCTCTCTCTCTCTCTCTCTCCCCCTCACGTCCCACTCCATCACTTTTCCTCTATTTCCACTCATTTTCCTCACATCTCTACTCTCTGCCTCCCGTAACTCTGTCTCTTTGCATTCCTTATTTCTCTTGGCCAAGTAAAGAAGAAAAAAAACCATCACCACCACTTGCTGAAACCCTTCGTACACACTCTGATAGCTGCCAACACCCTCATGCAATCTACTAAGGACACCAAGCCAAGCCTAGTTCTGCATAATGGGTTCCACTACAATTCATCACATACCTCAACGAGTTCTCGAGCTCTAGACTTGGTAAGCCTCCATTCTACTCCCTCTCATTTTAGTTTCCGTTTTCTATCTTGGTTTCGAACTTGCATGTAAACTTAGAACCCACATCGTGAGCTAAAACCAGAGGCTTGATATGTCTTTTCTTCTCTTATTCTTGCAGAGAACTCCGACAAAGATTCTAGCCAAATCTTGCCGTTTTGACAAGGCCATGCCCATTTTGTCCCATCTTCAAGTTATCTAGACCTAGTTTGAGCCTTGCAAGCTCGATTGCATGACTACTACTATGAAACGTAACGAAAACCCTTTATGGGCCCGTAAGATTTCGGCCAAATTCGATTTTGCAAGCCACCTTAAGACCCTCTGGTATACTTATGTTTCTCTTGTCCCAACTTCTAATTCATATAGTATATGCTGGTTTAGTGGGAAATTTTAGAAAAGAATGATGTTGCCGTATTGTTTTTACAACAAGGACCAAATTGCAAAATTTGTTAAAGCTTTAGGGCTGTTTGGTAACTCTAAGAAATTGGGAGCATTTTTGCAATTACCTCTAATTTGAGGGGCAATTTTGTAAAATGTGAAATTTGGACAGATTATAGTTAATCTGTCCATTTTGGGTATGATTTATGTTTAAGTACTTTGCTAAAGTCAATGTGACTTGGTATAGGTACACGCTTATTTGGATCAACAAACGATAAGGCTCACCAAGGGCGAGCATGCTTTGGTTACGTGAGTGGGTCTTTTGTTTTTATGTATATATATGTATATGTGATTTTCTCAACAAATGCTTTTATATATTACGATGTGACATGTCATGTTTAGCTTTACAAATAGACATTTCGTACATTTTATGTTTTTAATATTATTTTTTAGCATAAACTTGTAACATGACATCCTTGCGTTTTATCTACTCATCACTACATGTTTGTACAGTGTCTCTTAGTTATTTGTATTGTCTTGGGCCAAGGACTAGCTTCATGTGTAGTTCACATGCACCGTTTCCATTTGCTTTGGATCCAGAGTTAGGTGCTAGCCTGTCATTTTGTGTGATGTGTTGGACTTGTATGTGATGCGACTAGCGCAACTCACGTGATATAGTACTAGAATGTAAAACCTACACCCAGCCTGTTCCATTGTTTGAATATCTCTACAGTAGACTTGTGTGCCTACATAAATTAATGAGCATTGATTTCTTGTAATAACGTTTTGTGATTTAATGTTGAGATACCTTGTTGCTGTACCCTACACTTTTCACTCACTTTTGCTGCAGGGTACCATATTTCTTACTAGTATTATAATATTTTTGGAAAATCATATACTTGTTTTATAGTGATGAGTTACATTTTTTGAAAAGGTTTTACAAAACTTTATTTTCAGGCCCACTCACTCTTGTTTTCGCCCCTCCAGGATTTTAGTGGCAGAGATTTCATGACGACGAGGATTGTTGGTAAAAGCTGTCATGTAGGAGACTTCTCCTTTCGATATAAATGTCCTTACTCTTCTTTTACTGTAATTTATCTATGCTCTGACATCACTTGTGTGATATAGATTCAGTCCCACTCACACACGCACTCTAAATTAGTCACTTTAGGTTTTAATTTATTCACTTTTCTCACATCATTACACTTTATGGCTTCGTCACCTTCTAGGTGTCGGTAATCACATCGTGATTCGGATGTCCAGGTGGACATTCCGGGTTGGGGTATGTCAACTGGTATAAGAGAAAGTGTCATTTTTAGGTTTAGCCGTGATAACTCTTCATCTAATAGGGTTTTGGTTTTTAGGTTATTAGGTTTAAAGCTTAAGGGTATTGGTGTATATTTAAGTGATATTTTGGATATATTTGAAGATTTTTATAAAACTTGACATTTTTAAAATTAGGGGCTAATATTTGGCTATATTCAATAAATCCTCTGTTTTTCCACTGTGCCGGAAACACATCTAGTACAATAACGTCTAGTACAATAATTATACAATTAGCTAAAAAAAATTCTAAATTTTCAACCTATTTTATTATTAGACTTGATTTATCAAGCCGTGCTGAGAGCACACTATAAAATTTCTTCTGTTTGATCTACCCAAACATATTTTTATACTTTTTGTTAGTCCAAAGCAACGCCATGCCATTAGTTACCTAAACATTTGACGTAAAAAATTAACATAAATTAAAAAAGTGAAAAAAATATATACTTTATATATAACATAACAGTGAGACGAACAAATTATGAGTAGTAAACTCAAAATTTTGAGAAACTTAATTTAGGGCTAACTCATCTCACCCTCTCAGGTTGATTTTTAAAATGAGTCATGATGTTTTAATTTTCTCGCATTGTCCTTTAAGGTTTTCAAATTGTATCAATTTACATTTTTTGTCTAATGAAGTATTTGAATATTCTTTAAATTCATGACACGGTGAGCACGAAACCTGTAATTTTGATAAAATGTATGCTACATTTATACCACAATGACTAAAAAAACTCATCAACTTAATGGATAAATGCAGACGATGTGGTCTAATATCCTAATGAATATGATGTTAGGTTTCCACCCACTTGTCATGGGTTCGAAACTCCACCCTCCCCAAAATTAATTCAATAGTTTCAACTCTCCTCCCTCCCTTGCCACTTAGTACTACGGTCTGGTGGTATTCTTTCCCGCTTAGAAGTGAGAGGTCTTAGGTTTGAATCTCGTGGATGACGAATTCGATACCAAATTAGGCTGCACATTATGTAGCTTAGCCGAATTCTCCTTTCCTTAGTGTAAAAACGTCGATATACTAAAAAAATTAAATAAATAAACTCTCCCCCCACCCCCCTTAATAATAGTAAATTTAAAAAATGGATATTTAGACAACCGTGGATGCAATGCGAGAAATACCTCAAGACCATTTTAAAAATCACCTCAAACCTTGAGGGGGTAAAATGTAGTTAGCCTCTTAATTTATTAAGCATTTTGAGGGTTTTTTTTTTTTTAATTTAGAAAATTTGTTAAATGATCCTAATTTCTCTTTATTGTTAAATAATGTAATCAAATCCCAAGTGGTGGATTATCTTAATTGTGGGGGCTTTTCTTTTTAGCCTATTACGTCCCAAGTTCAAACTTTCCCCTTCATTTTAGTATAATTCAGTGTAAGAGTATATCTTCTATTAAAAAGAAAAGGGAATTGTTATTGGCACTTCAAAATTCTCATTCTATATTCCAATTTTTTTATTCTATATTTAGAAAGAAAAATACACTTAAGGAGTGTAGAATGTGATTTTTAGAGTGCCAATAACGCTCCCCTAAAAAAATGTTATCACACATTTGATAGTTGAAATGTAAATAGATAATCATTGTGAGAGATTGTTGAGATTCTATGAAATTAGTTGGCCATGATCCCATAAATGTCACTTCTATAAAGACTTCGCAATATGTCCAAAACCATATTCCAAGAGGCAACGCGAGAAAGTTTGTAGTTGAGGTCCACACGTTGTATATAATTGACTAGTCATGACCATCTAGATGTTCACGGCCAGCACAAATAAGAGTCAATTATTGAGAGTAAGATATTAAAATGTCGGAATAACAATTGATTACAAATGCATAAAACGTCCCTCTCACAATAACTTGTCAATTATCCACAGGTGGTGTTGCAGAGGAGAGAGTACATTTCCAACTTTGGAAATCCTTCCTTTGTAGAACAACCGGAGGAAGCGGCTTCAGAACAACTCTTCGGTTCTCTTCAACCTGGCCAGGAACGAGTACAATCTTTTCCAGAACAACTCCCTGCCTGATTAAGATGTTCACAAAATTAGCTTCATCTTCGGTTCCGGTATACGGTTTGATAGTAACTTGCTTGAGACTCGGGATGCTTAAGTCAACTGGAGTATCTAACAACTCTTCTGATAAAATCTCCTGGAAATTGCATGATCGAATTTCAGATGTACAGCACGGAACCTAAAAAAGAACGATAAGCATAAGAAACATGAAGAATGAAGTGTGTCGAAGTACTCACATTATCTGCTTCAATCTTGTGTTGGTGTTCCAGAATCATTGTCTCGAGATTGGGCGAAAGTTCAATCAGTACAAGCATGCCAATGAGATCATACTGCGTGAACCCTGTTTGTAGCTCTAATAGCCTCAGATTGTGGAGTCTAAAGCTTTCAGGCAAGAAATCTGATGTCGTAAACTGAGAACGTATGCAAAGAAAACAACTTCAACAATACAATCCCTTTACGAACGGAACAAGAATGAAACTGCAAAAAGTTAACCGTAATCAAAACAATAAAAACGATAACTGATGAGAACAGAAGTTAGAAAGATTACCTTAAACCACCAGTTTTGCACATAAAGATACTTCAGATTAGGCACTTGTTCGAGTAGCCTAACAACCCTACTCAAATAACAATCGGATAGATCGATCAGGTGCACAATAACACGAAACTCAACCAGAAATGACGCATTCTTCAGCTCAAACATATAAAAGCTGCAGCAATCAAAACTAATCGAACAAAGGTTTGGGCAATCGACCAAAATCCTCGCTCGGATATAAGAATCATCATAAAAATGCCCAAGTACAAGCTTCTTGAGCCTTTTGCTACATATCTTCAAATGACGATGCCCCCAACAGTTTTGAAGCTCCAAATCCTCCAAACTGGGGCACCCCAGTATCAAATCCCCCACCATCTTGTCCGACAAGTAAACCTGATCGAGAAATAATGACCTAATTGACCGAAACCGCATGGTGGACAGTTCAGGGGGCAATATAACATCACATCGCGTAAGTCGTAATTTCTCAACACACCCATCTCTCAGAACAGAGAAAGGGAAAGCGTACCAGTTAGTTCGGGTACCTTCGTTGTGAAACTTTTTGTGGATGAAGAAGTCGAGATAGAGCTCGCGGGTGCGGAGGCAGGTCACAGCGGATCGCACCCAAGAGTCGACATGGGAGCTGTAGTGATTGTGGTGGATGAAAGAGAGGCGGAAAGTGGAGACCCGGGAATCAGTGCGGGAAACCAGAACACGGTCAACGAACTCGACGTAGAACTGGCGGGTATCCAATGGCGGCTCGCGCAGCGGGAAGAGTTTGTAGTTGAAGTTGAGGGCGGGAACGTGAGACCAGAGGGGGTGCCATTTGTGAGAGATGAGGGAGGCCTGGACGGCGTCGAGTGTGGGGAGGAAGGTGAGGATGTGGAGGAGGATATCATCAGGGAGATCGTTCAAGTTTCGGTTCGTAACTTCATTGCTTACATCTTCCATGCTTTCTCTGGATTGTTGACCAAACGAATTGTGGTTTCTTGATGTGGGAGGAGAGGTTTGGGCGGAGTCTAATCCTCATTAAATATTAAAGTCAATTAACTATTTAATCAGGATATAATAAAGAGAGAATAAACAGTCTGTGTAATCGATTTAATTTCTTTTTCCTTTTTCATAAGAAATAATTTAAGAGCATAGACAAACCATCGTTAACGCTACACCCAAACTTCGAGAGAGAGCAAAAAGAGACTCATTCAACTAGGAGGCGCAGTGTAGTAACCCGTCTCGAAATTTACTGTACGAAGGGGTATCTTTGTAATTTCATTAAGTTTGGGATTTTTAAAAAAAATTGTTTTTTGGTCTTAATGTGTGTGCACGTTGGGCCCATTTGTTTTGGTTTTGTTCTCTGGGGTCCAAGTCTCTCTTTCTCTCTTTCCCACTTTGTTCCATTTCTGTCTCTCCCTCGTCTTCGCTCTTCTCTCCTCCACATGAGCAAGGGTGGAGCTAGGATTTTTTTTTCTTGGATGGGCTAGCTGAAAACAATACCATAAAATTATATGTTTATTTTTTTTTTTGCTTATATAAAATTGTATAATAATCAATATAAAAGAACAACAATATATTATAAACTATTCTCAAAATCATAATCCTAACCGATATATTCAAGGACCATATAAATAATTAACCTACTAATTAAATCAAGAATAAGTAAATAAAGGGGACTAGAGATAGAACTAATTTATAATTTTTAGCGTAAAACGTATTATTCACTACCTCTCATCTACTAAATATACGTCAAAATAATAATTTGTATTGAAATTGAGTAGGCTATAAGCATGAGTTTACAAAAGAATAGATCTATTCACAAACCCATTTTACTTCCAACACAGCCTAATTAATATTTTGTTAGTGATCATCTTCAATTTATTCGATCCGAACAACCGACAATTAAAAGAGGTGTGTAAAAAGTAAAAATGAGTGCATGGATAACACTACCCTTACAGAAAACCTCCCTGGGCTACAGCCCACCTTAGCCTTGTGGGTGGCTACGCCATTGCACATGAGCAATCATCGAGACCACCATCATTATACCCACTCCAACGACCACCACCCACACCATCATTCTTCTCTCCTTGTGAGTTCCACGAAATCTGGAGAAAAGGAGAAGCACACAAGCTCTCCACGTCTCGTGGCACCGTGGGTGGCCACTGTACACCGCATCCCCAGTCTCGACCATGGTAAGCTTTTGGAACTCCCTTGATCTTGTTTAGGAGTGTTTTGGAGACGTTTCTAATTAGTTTTTTGTGGTTTTTTGACGAAGAACACCTTGGGAAGACCTTTCCCAGTTTCCAGCGAACGCCAGTGGCTTCTAGGCCTTTTTCCGGCCGACTCTGGCCACAACTGAGGAAACCAATGGTTTAGATCTCTTTGGTTCCGACGACCCACCTAACAAACATGCCAAAAGCCGACCCAAGTAACCTAGCCCATTTGGGCAGCCCAAGCCCCAATACAAAACCTTAAGGCCCCAAGCCTTTGGGCTTTACTAACATGGGCCTTCAGCCCAACCCATCAACCCCAAAACCAACTAAACCCAACCCCAGCCCGTTAAACCCAGCCCTCAAACCTTGGGCCAGGCAACCAAACCCAGCCCAGTTTGCCAAGCCCAACCTAGCTGTTAACCCAAGCCAAACTCGATGGAATATTCTCTGGAATATTCCAGTGTTGGTTTTTTGTTGACTTTTTTGAAATTTACCAGGGACCCTTCTTAGGGTAATTCGACGTTCTGAATTCGTTTTTTACCTCTGTTTTTCTCAAATTCAATCATTATAGTATAGTTTTATTAATTGGACCATTTATGTGCTTAGGTGCATTTATTATGGCATTTCCGTCTTCGCTAGTTTGCGTGGCTCTTGACGACGAAGTATCTTTGAGTGGACTCCTTCTAAAATGCATGTTTTAATAGTAGAAATGCATATATGAAAAGCATGATTTAATGGTTACGTTTTATGAGTAAATTAGATTTACACTTATATTATATCATGCTTTACTGCGAATATTTTGGAATACCATATTTTACCGAACTTATGTTCATTGTAGTATAAATGATGGATGATTATATACTATTTATGAACATGTTTTTACACACTTCTTTATAGTATATATGATGGATAACTATATGCTATAAAGATGTTTTTGAGATATATGTACCTATGTTTGGAAAGAGTATATTCAATGTTTTGTGCTCATCTAGTGGTCACTGTTCTACCTACGGGTGAGAGACATAGTTGTTGGCTTCGGGTTGGGAGAAATAATCTCTGGTTTTGGGCCCAGAGACATAATGTTGGCTGCGGGCCGAGAGATATAATTATTGAACACCACGGGTGAATGGGATACCACTAGTTAGCACACTATATACGAGATATGTTTTATGAAGGTTTTATGGCACACCACAGGTAAATGGGATATGACTAGTTAGCACACTATATACGAGATATGTTTTATGAAGGTTTTATGGCATGCTAGGGTTTTCGAAAACCTATTACATATTATGTTATGAGTTTTCTTTAAACTCTGCGAGTTTGTATGTTGATGACTGTTTCAATAATATATATATATATATATATATATATCAACTTGGTCCACTCATGTTTGTTTTACGCCCCCTCAGGATTTAGATTCAAGGCGTACAATCTGGCGTCAAGACACTTCCGCATCGGCATCGTTGAGTCCTCTCAATGTATGACCTATTCCTTTGTTCATTCAATTTTATATTATTTCCTTTTAGTGTTCTCAATTAGTTGTTTGCTCTAAACACATTTCTCATTTGCATATTAATTACATTTAAATTTATAAGTCTTATTTATTTATTGTTCTCATGCATTCTAACATGGCTTCATCACCTTCAAATGTCGGCTAACACGTGCCTATCCTAATGTTTGGGGAATATCAAGGTCAGGCGTGTCACACAGAACCTAGCGCAATGACGTTCTAGGATTAATGCAGTCGATCCCAATTAGTCAAATAAGACATTGTATTATCTTATCATGTTGATTGTTGAACAAGTAAGATTTGGTATGACATTGTAAACAAGACCAATTCTAATGGAATCAAAGCATGATAAAGGGAATAATATGGACACGATCAACCTTACAACTATGTCTAATAAAAACATGTCATTTTGACAAAGAAATAAGACGGAAGATATTCGCAAACAAACTCGAAATAAGATTTTGATATCTGTAATAACCATGTAATCTAAGATTCATAATCCAAGTTCAAACAACAGCAAACCTTGGAACGAGACGGAGCCGATGGATTCCCGTTTTAAGCTCAAAGTCCATTTTCTAATTGGAGTTGCGGAGGAGAGAGTAGTTCCAAGTTTGTGAACCCTTTTTATACATAACAACCGGGGGAACCGACTTCAGAACGACTACTCTGTTCTCAACTTGGCCATGAACAAGTACAATCTTCTCTAGGACAACTCCTTGCTCAGTCAAGATTTTCACGAACTTACCTTCATCTTCTGTACCTGTATACGGTTTGATCGTAACTTGCTTGAGACTTGGGATGCTGAACTCAACTGGTTTATCCAACAACTCTTCTGGTAAACTCTCCTGGGAATTACAAGATCAAGTTTTAATGTGCAGCAAGGAACATATAAAAGAATGATAAGCAATAGTAACACTGAAACACTAGGCATTGCTATAATTATATGTTTGTAAAAATACTCACATCCGGGTCAAACTTGCGAGGGTATACTAGAATCATTGTCTCGAGATTCGGACAAAGTTTAAGCAGTGCAGCTATGCCAACAAGATCATACTGGGTAAACCCAGTTCGTAGCTCTAAGATCTTCAGATTGTGGAGCATAAAACTTTCCGGGAAGGAATCCTTTGATGTCAGAAACTGAAGGCATATGCAAAGAAAACAATTAGGAATATAAGAAAATGCTCAACAACATAATCCCTTCGCATACCAGTGGTCATACAGAGGCGGAAAAAGCCAGTAAAACGTGATATTTGAAAAATCCCCAATTTCATGAAGTTTAAGGCAAAGAGGTTGGCTCTAACATCTAAGAATGTAATGTTGCACAGAAATGAGGAGAGTTAAAAAGCGACTAAAAAATGTCAAGCACAGAACCACATGGCTGGTCAGTAGTCACTGAGACATGCAACCAGATTTCATTTCCGGTGAGACTGATTTTCATATGAAAATATCTCCCAGGATGGGTTAATCATCATTTAATCCTGCTTGTTAGAACTAGTGACAATCAAAACAATAGACAAGACCTTTTCTTGGTAGTTCATATTTCAAAAAAGTTCTGTACAATGCCATTATGTTCAAATATCTCATCGATGCACTCTGAGTGAGAATTCCATAGGTTAGATTCTACAGGATCAAACCTATGGGATAAGGAATGATGGAGGGGAATAAATACCCGACCTAAAAGTAAAATAACTTAGTGAACCACAATCAAGTTGGTGCAAAAACCAGCTGAAGAATTTCTTTTCCGTTTAACGACAAATATGTAATCCATACTGAACAAAAATCTACTTTCTGTTCTATCAATAACCAAAAATGCTGGCACGGAAAATGTAGGCTATATTATTCAACATCAAAAGGTTTATTGCAGAAACTTATCTCCCAATGTGATTAATGATCGGACGAATAAGATAACAGTCCACAAAGAGCATTATTACGTTTCTTAATTTCCTGTGCAGTTCACCCACCACTTCTTAATTTCCTGGGAGAACAATCTATGACCAACTTGTAAAAGTCAGGAACTAATCATTTCCTCTATATAGACACGACCGAATTCCTGTAATGATGCTCAGACCTGAAAAACTAATTACCCTTTTCCTCTTCCTTTTAACTCCAAGATTCAGTGACAAGCTAACTAAGGCCTTACTTTCTTATCTCTTTCAATTCCTAAGAGTCTCAATAAAAAATACATGGATATACCACCATGTCCGAAAAACATCCCAATTTCGCCAATCTACGAAAAGCCTTCCGGCAATCACAATACCAACCACATTGCTATATATACCTCACATTTTTGGCATAGTATGCACACACAACAGAAGAAGAATAAAACTACATAAAGTTAAGCACAATCGAAACAATATGAACAACAATTGATCATAACAGAGATAAAAAGATTACCATAAACAACCAATTTTGCACATGAAGGTGCTTAAGATTAGGCACTTGTTCGAGTAGCCCAACAACCTTAATCCAATAAGAATAGGATAGGTGGATCATATGCACAAAATCAACCCGGAACTCAACCAGGGACGAAGCATTCTTAAGCTCCAACCTGAAAAAGCTACAGCAATTAAAACTGATCGAACGAAGGTTCGGGCAATCCACCAAAAGCGTCTCTCTTTGTTTAGAAGATTCAAAGAACATCCCAAGCGTTAGCCTCTTAAGCCTTTTGCTACATATCTTCAGACGACGATGGCCCGAACACTTTTGGAGCTCCAATTCCTCCAAATTGGGGCAACCCAATATCAAATCTTTCACCATCTGATCCGCCAAGTAAACCTGATCGAGAAACAAGGACCGAATCGACCAAACACGCCGAGTGGACAGCTTAGCCGGCAGCGTAAGATAGCAGCGCGTGAGGCCTAATTTCTCAACACACCCATTTCTCAGAACCGAGAAAGGGAAATCGTACCAGTGATTTACGGTTTCCACATCGTGAAAATCGTCGTGGACGAACAAGTCGAGGTAGAGCTCTCGGGCGCGGAGGCGGGTGACGGCGGATCGGACCCATGATTCGACGTGGGATCCGTAGTGAGAGTGGTAGATGAAGGAGAGGCGGAAAGTGTGGACGGGAGAATTGGCGCGAAAAATGAGAACGCGGTCTACTAACTCGGCGTAGAACTGGGAGGTGTATTCGAGCGGCTCGCGCGGCGGGAAGAGTTGGTAGTCGAAGTTGAGGGAGGGGACGCGGGACCAGAGGGGCCGCCATTTGTGGGAGATGAGGGAGGTCTGGACGGCGTCGAGTGTGGGGAGGAGGGAGAGGATGTGGAGGAGGATCTCGTCGGGGAGATCGTTTAGGGTTCGATTTGGGATTTCATTGATTCCCAATTCTTCCATGGTTGGTTTGGATTCCTGTTTCTTCAACCGGCAAAAGATTTTATAAACTCTGTTCGAGGAACTGACTGAAGCAGATTTTTCTCTACCCGCCCTTTATTTATTTTGTTAATATTTTATCTTCTTCATTTTTCAAACTTTACCATTTTTTATAAATTATAGAATAATTAATTCATACTAAATTGTAAATTCATCTAATTACAATAGAAAATGATTCAAATTTGAATGTAGAGAGAAAGACGAATATTGTCAACTTCGCACATGCTGGTGTTTGAAAATGCGTATTAGAATTATTTGAGTTTCCGAGGGATTGAGAAGATTAAAATCGAGTTTCAAGAACATAACTAAAAATAAACCTTCTATTACTTATGATATATTATATTTTTAAGATTTGTTTGGAAATATTTTTAAAATAACCGAAAATCATAGATTCTTAAAGCACTTAACACACTTCAAAGTGCTTTTTTAAAATTCACATGCATTTTCATTAATATTGGTTCCAAAAATATTTTCTTATAAAAAATGCTTTTAATCACCTTTAAAGCAAATCCCAAACCAGCATATTAACTTGCTCAAGAAAAAAAAAAAAAAAATATGCCGCAAAATCATTCAAAAATTCTCTTTTTCAACTAGAAAATCTGCTTAGAACTCGATCAAAAAGTCTTGTTTCAGAATTTTGGATTCGCCATTTAAAGCTCGGAGTCTATATACCATTTGGTGCTGCGGAGGAGACCGTACTTCCAACTTGCGAGACCCTTCTTCTATATACCACCGGAGGAAGCGACTTCTTCTCGCCATTCTCAAAACCTTGGAAGGGAACAACTACAATCTTTTCTAGGGCGCCTTCGTGCCTCATCAAGATTTTCATAAACTTATCATCGTCTTCGCTCCCAGTATACGCTTCTATTGTAACTTGCTTGAGGCATGGCATGTTGAACTCGACCGGTTTATCTAACAACTCTTCTGGTAAACTCTCCTGGGAATTAGAAGATCATGTTTTAGATACGAAGCACGGAACTAAGTAAAATGATAAGCAATAGCAACATGGAAACATCAAGCATTGCTATAAATATGTGTGTAAAAGTACTCACATCTTTCTCCATCTTGAAAAGGAATTCACGAACCAGTGTCTCGAGATTGGGACAAAGTTTAAGCAGTGCAGCCATGCCAACGAGATCATATTGGGTAAACCCCGTTCGCAGCACTAACACCTTCAGGTTGTGGAGCATGAAACTTTCGGGGAATGTATCCTTCGATGTCAGAAACTGATGGCATATGCATGGAAAACAATTACGAGTATTAGAAGATGTTCAATAACATAATGCCTTTAGAAACCAGAGGTCATGCGTAGGGAAACAAACCCAAAGAGATTCAAGCAGTAAAATTTGAAAATCCGAGAGTTCGCAGAGGTTAAGGCAATCTATGAATGAAATGTTAGACTAACCACATTGCTAACATATTTGGGCATAATTACCACAATGAAGTAAAACAGTAAGGAACTGCTTAAAGTTAACGAAAATCGAAACAACAAAAACAACAATTGATCAAAACAGAGGTACAAGAATTTACCTTAAACCACCAATTTTGCACAATGAGAATCTTAAGATTAGGCGCTTGTTCTACAACCCTATGAACCTTACTCCACTGATGATATGACTGATGGATTCGGTGCACGAAATCGGCACGAAACTCAACCAGGTAAGAAACATAGATCCAAATTGATCGAACAAATGTTAGGGCAATCAACCAACAATGTCTGTCTCTTTTCAGGATCATCAGGAAAATAATACCCCAATACAATTCGCAGCCTTTTGAGCCTTTTGCTGCATATCTTCAAATGAATTGGCCCGCGACACCCAAGAATCTCGAAAGCCTCCAAATTGGGGCAACCCAGAATCAAATCCTCCACCATCTGATCCGTCAAATAAACGTGGTCGAGAACCATTGACCCAATCGACCCGAACCGCATGGTGGGCAAATTCGCCGGCAGATTGAGATAACACCGCGTGAGGCTCAATTTCTGAACACCCATTTCTCAGAACAGAGAATGGGAAATCGTACATGTGGTGATCCTCGGTTTCGGCTTCTTCGGCGTTGTGAAAATTTTGGTTGATGAAGAAGTCGAAGTAGAGCTCCCGGGCGCGGAAGTGAGTGACGGCGGATCGAACCCAGGAGTCGACATGGTAGCGGTAGTGATTGTGGTAAATGAGAGAGAGGCGAAACGTGTGGATAGGGGAATCGGAGAGGGAAATGAGAACGCGGTTGACGAAATCGGCGTACAATTGGCGGGTGTCCAACGGTGGCTCGTAGGGCGGGAAGAGTTGGAAGTTGAAGTTGAGGGAGGGGACGCGGGACCAGAGGGGCAGCCATTTGTGGGAGATGAGGGAGGTTTGAACGGAGTTCAATGTGGGGAGGAAGGTGAGGATGTGGAGGAGGAGGTCCTCCGGCAGATCGTTCAGGTTTCAAGGACAACTTCTTGCCTAATCAACATCTCGATAAAAATCAACTTGAGGGTTATATACTTTCAATGTAACTTGCTTGAGACGTGGCATGCTGAACTCAACTGGTTTATCTAACAACTCTCCTGGTAGACTCTCCTGGAAATCAGAAGATCAAATTTTAGATATGGAGCACAGAACATGGCAAAAAATGATAAGCATAAGTTATACAGAAACATCAATTCTGTATGTAAAAGTACTTACATCTTCGCTAAACTTGCAAAGGTAATCCAGAACCATTGTCTCGAGATTGGGAGAGATTTTAAGCAATGCAGCCATGCCAACGAGATCATATTGGGTAAACCCTGTTCGTAGCTCTAAGTGGTTCAGATTGTACAGCATAAAACTTTTGGGGAAAGTATGCTTTGATGTCAGAAACTGAGGGCATATGCACAGAAAGCAACTATGAATGTTAGAAGATGTTCCATAACATAACACCTTTAGAGACCAGTGGTTGTACGTTGGGAAAAAAAACCATAGAGGCTAAGCAGTAATGAGGTGGAGGTGGACAGAGTTCGAAACAGACCAAAACATGTATAGCAAAGAAGCACATGGCTGCTCCCAGAAACTCTTCAAAGCCACAACATTGAGGAGAAAAACTAACTCTGCACAATGGCATGATTAAGCATCAACGAATCCTGAAATGAGTGATCATCCAGATAGAACCCGCTTTTGTATAAGAAACAACAGACAGGACCTTTTCTTGGTAGTTCAATTTTTGACAACAATTCCGTGCAATGAGAACTCCATGCCCAAGTGAAAGTTTAATAACTTATTGCACCACAAGCAATTAGGTTCAAAACCAGAGTAATGAGAAAGTTTATTATTAATCACCGAGTCCGAAAAACACCAAATTAAACCTATGTTTGAGGAGTCTTCCGCATAATCAGAATTCAGTATGGCAACCACGTAGCACGAAATTTTGGCATAACTTCCACATAAAAAAGGTGAAACTGCCTAAACTTAACCCAATTTGAAACAATGAGAACAGATTGATCAGAACATAAACAATAGAAATGCCCTAACTATTATGAAACTCACAACTAACTGCACTATAGGCAATGAAGAACCATAATCAGAGTGAATAGAAGTTTTACTTTCCTGACAACTCACCTCTGATATCACTATGCCAGAAGCAGAATCCTAATGCACGATATCTAGTCTTAATTCACCTATTTAATGACCAATTTGTACAAATTAACCACTGATTATTCCCTCTGTCACTTCAAGATTTAAGGACAAGCTAAAAATCCTTTCTCATGTTATTATATTAAGACACAAACTCATTCAAAAACACACGGCTATATCTCAAAGTCCGAAAAACATTAAAATGTAGCCTACCAATGTCATCAGAATACCAAATTTTTGCTTAAAGTTGGCGAAAATTAAATTACAAAAACAATAATTGATCAAGGCAGAAGTTTTGGGGAATTACCTTAAAACCACCAATTTTGCACACTAAAATGCTTAAGATGAGGCACTAGTTCGAGTAGCCTAACGGCCTTGCTCCAATAATTATAGCCTTCCATTAGGAGCATAACATCAACCCAAAACTCAATGAGGGACGAAGCATTCTCGAGCACCAACTGCTTAAACCAGCAGCCATTGAAATCGATCAAATAAAGGTTCGGGCAATCGACCAAAACCGTCTCATTGACTCCACTACCAGTATCATTAAAATCCCCAACCTCAAGTACTAGCCTTTTGATGAAACCGTCTCATTGACTCCACTACCAGTATCATAAAAATCGACCAAAACCGTCACAACCGTTAGATGAAACCAACTTCTACACAGATAAGACAAAAGACCACAAGGGTGGGAATTAACAGCTGTCTAATATTTGTGAGGTCCTAACAATCATGTCCCATAAGAATGAGCTTGTCCTCAAGCGTTGAAATCTGGGAAACGGTCACGAATAGAGTCAATTTCCTCCCAAGTAGCATCATGGTCGGGAAGGCCCATCCATTTGATAAGCCAACGTGTGACAGCCGAGTTTCCTCTCTTGAACATGCCACGTTACAGAACCTTCTTCGGTGTCCAGGTCACTAGCCCCGCATCTGACAGAGGTGGAAGCACGGTAGACACAGCCACGTTGAAGGCGAGTTTTGGCTTTAGAAGCGAGACATGAAACGTAGGGTGGATACGGGAACCAAGAGGCAGGTCCAAGGTGTATGCAACCTTCCCTACGCGAGCGAGGACCTTGAAAGGCCCGTAGAATCGGGGTGCCAGTTTGGGATTGGTGTGATGGACAAAGGATTGGCGGTAGGGTTGTAAGCGGAGAAAAACCCAATCTCCCACTTTGAACTCATGCTCTGAGCGCTGTTTGTTTGCATAATGGCACATGCGATCTTGAGCTTGGTAGATTAGCACAAAGGAGGTGAAGCAAAGCATCTCGGTCCCGAAGGGTCGTGCCCACAAGGTTGACTGAGGAAGAGCCCGGGAGATATGATGAGACGCTAGGGGGAAGGTAGCCGTACACAGCCTCAAATGGAGTCATCTTGGTGGCTGAGTGAAAAGTGGTATTGTACCACCACTCCGCACATGGCAGCCAGTGAACCCCAAAGGTGGCCTTGTCGCCGACGAAGCTACACAGGTAGTGTTCCAAGGTGCAATTCAGGACTTCTATTTGGCCATTAGATTAGGGGTGATAGGCCGAGCTGCGGCAAAGCTGCATTCCGTGGAGCTTGAAGGACTCCCAGAAGGTACTGATGAAAATACGATCCTGGTCGCTAACAATGGTTGTAGGCATGCCATGGAGGCATAAGACCTCACAGAGAAAGATGTATGACACCTTGGCTGCTGAATATGGATGTTTGACGGCAATGAAGTGGGCATACTTGGAGAGTCGGTTGACTACTACTAAAATTGCATTGCGCTCATGGGTGTGAGGAAAACCTTTAATAAAGTCCATGGCAATATCTGTCCAAATCTGATAAGGGATGGGAAGTGGTTGAAGCAACCTTGGTGGTTTAATGGCCTCGTAGTTGTTTCGCTGGCAAATATCGCAGCTGGCAACAAAGGATTTGACGGCTGTCTTTAACCCCGGCCAATTGAAGTTTCGACGAACTCGTTTATAGTTCGAAGAAATCCCAAGTGACCTGTTACGGGGGAACAGTGAAATTCTTGAAGAATGCGATGTCGCCACGGTGAGGAAGCCATAACGAAGATGCCACCTCTGTAATACAGAAGGTTTCCACGAAGAAAGAAATGGGCGCGCGGCTGCTGGCTGTTGTTGAAAGTATGGAGAAGAGTCGAGGCCTTTGAATCCTGATTATACTCTACTTGTATTTCTGAAATGCAATCAAAGATAGGTTGGGAGAGACCCATAAGCATGAGACACTCATGTTGCTGGGACAATGCATCAGCGGCGGTGTTCGAGGAACCCGGACTAAATTCCAGGTGTAATTGTAACCTAAGAGCTTGAGGAGCCATTTCTGCTATGTTGGTGTGGTGATTCTCTGGTTCAGAAAGTATTTCCGTATTTAATGGTCTATCAGGATGGTGAAAAGATGCCCAAGCAGATAAGGGCACCATTTTTTAACTGCGAACACAATTGCCATCATCTTCTTATCATAAACTGATAAGGCCTTATGCTTGTCTGCCAAAGATTTACTCAGGAAGGTAATTGGGTGGTGGTTTTGGGATAACACGGCCCTGATGCCAGTAACGAGGGCATCTTATTGAATGGTAAAGTGCTTGGTGAAATCCGAAAGGGCCAGTACGGGAGTGGAGGCAAGGGCCTATTTGAGGGCTAAAAAAATGGTGTCCGCAGTGGGTGACCTTTTGAAATTGTCTTTTTTCAAGAGCTTTGTCAATGGATGAGCCAAAATCCCAAAATGTCGTACAAATTTGCGGTAGTACCCTACCAATCCCAAAAATCCTATTAAGCCCTTGAGTGTGTGAGGCGGAGGCCAATCCATAATGCATTGCACTTTTGAGAGTCAACAACCACACCGGCAGCCGAGATAATATGCCCAAGATAAGCCACTATGGTTTGGCGAAATGAGCACTTAGAGGCCTTAACCTTCAAGTCATGAGCACGGAGGACTTCAAATACAAAAACCAAGTGCGTGAGGTGGGTCTGCAAGGTGGGGCTAAAGACGAGAATATCGTTGAAAAAGACCAACACAAACTTGCATAGAAAGGGCTTGAAGATAGAATTCATTAAGGCCTACAAGGAGGTTGGAGCATTGCAGAGGCCAAAAGGCATCACTAGAAACTCGAAGTGGCCATCGTGCATGCGGAACACAGTTTTGGGAATGTCGGGCTTATGCATGCGGATTTGGTGGAAACCCAAACGAAGGTTCAATTTGGAGAAGATGGTCGCATCACGGAGTTCATCCAGCAGCTTGTCAATGATCGGTACTAGGAAAGGAAATTTAACAGCGACCTGATTAAGAGCGCAGTAGTCAACACAGAATCTCCAAAGACTATCAGCTTTGTGGACCAAGAGAGTGGACAAGGAGAAGGGACTCGAGCTGAGGCAAGGAGAAAGGACTTGAGCTGGACCAAGAGACCTGGCGTTCAACCTCTGCCTTCTGGACATGGGCATACCGATACAGGCGGACATTCACCAGTTGTATGTTAGGCACTAATGTGATCCGATAGTCAGTGTCCCATAGAGGAATGAGACCCGTGGGAGCAGTCAAAAGGTCCAAATATGTGTCCAAGAGTGGGACAATAGGTTACGGGGTGGGAGAAAGTGTTGCCAGAGGCGAATGATCTTGCAGGAGGGAAATTACCAGGGAACCCAAGTTCATTTGAGAAAAAGCAGGGGATGGTGAGGGGTTGGGGGCATAGAGACCCACCAAACGATAGTTACACCCATTAAGTTGAAACTCTATGATTTTTTCCTTCAAATGCCATCCAATATAGCTTGGAGATTCCAGCCATTCAACCCCAAGTACCATGTCACATCCAACTACTGACAAAATTCTGATATCGGAAGAAAAACGTAGTCCTGCAATTATATTTTATCATCGAAAACAATCTTTTTGGTGTAACAGAGGTGGCCATTAGCAACGGTTACTGGCTTAGTAATAGATTGGTCAATGCGGACGTCGAGCTGGGAAGTGACAGAGGGGTTGAGAAAGTTTAAATCAGCCCCGGAGTTGACAAAAACCCGAATTGGCAGAAACCCAATATGACCCATCAAGCGCATCACACGTCCATATGTGCGTTTAGGGGAAGTCAGAGCGTTGAGGGTGACTGATGCAGTGTCCTCTAATGGGGTCTCATCAGAATATGTCGAAGGGTTATCGACAAGTGGGTCGGAGGCGGCCTCGAAGATGGCAGCAACATTTAAGAGGAGCAAGTGTGGTGTGGCACATGTGTGTTCAGGGTAGTATTTCTTCGGGAATTAAAGGCATTGTCTACGGGTAAAGGTGGAGGGGATCTATTTGGTGGGGAGGGAGCTGGTTTGGAGAGAGACAGAGAGGGGGTCTATTTGGTGGGGAGGGAGCTGGTTTGGAGGGTAGAGGTAGAGGGGACGATGACGAGGGCGTCGATGGTGCAAGTAGAGATCACGAGCTGAAGGAACAAAAAGGGCCGCGGCGGCGTTGATGCTTATTGTCATAAATGCGGGCAAGCTCGATGGTCTGGGACAATGAGTGTGGGGCTTAGGCCAAAATATCATCTTGGAGTTCCGATTTAAACCCACCAATGAAAACCCCCAAAAGTTGTGAATCGGACTAGCCTTGGGCCCGACAAGATAACCAAATAAAATCATTGATATAGGCATCCAACGGGCCTTTTTGGGAAACATGGGAAAATGACATGTTGAAGTTCAATTGGTCAACAGGCCCAAACCGTTGGAGAAGGGAGTCCGTGAATGTGGCCCATTGTCCGGATCCAATATGAAGTTTATATAACTTGAACCAGAGGGCTGTATCTTTGGTAAAGTGGAGCCTCGTAATAGTGGCCTAGTGTGTCGCATCAACCTCGTGATAATCCATGTACTTTTCTACGAGAGCCAGCTAGCTGTATGGATCGTCCAGGGAAGCTCAATCTTCATATGTTTAGGGCCAGTGAAAGTGGGTTGTGTCCCCAAAAGAAGTGGAGGTGGTGGAGGTGGGTGCAAAGAAGATGACGAGAAGTGGGTACAAAGGGTGGTAGATGGTGGGAGGGAAAATGGAACATATGGGGAACAAGAGTAGGGGAACCCCAGGTTGGAGAAGGAACAACGGAAGGGGGTTAAGAGGGGTGTGAGAGTGGGGTGGGTTGGAACAGTTGAGGCAACGGGGTGGAAAACGACCCCATAAGGATCTGAAAGTGACCCGATTGGAATCTGAGGATGGAATGTGGACGTGGGCTGCTGTTGCTTGAAGGCACAAAGCTCCTCCATCAGATGGGTCTGGACCAGGCTAATATTAGCTAAGGAGGCCTGGATTTCTGCCAAGTTCGACTGGAAGGATTCCTAGCGTGTGGCCAACACAGACACCGAGTCGTGGAAACCATTAAGTTGCTCCAAAATCTGATGTTGTGGGTACTACAGTTCAAGATCAGCCTCCGTGACGTTGGCCGCGACCACGAAAGCCTTGCTTTTGCCCATGAATGGCAACAACCTGGCTTGATGATACCAGATGATAGGATCGAAGAGATAAAACAGTGTAGGAGGCAGAAAAAAGGAAAGAAATAACTAAAACATCTTCATTTTCATTTCATGCCTTTCCCAAAATGTGAAGGGGGCTTATATACAACCTTAAAGGAGGAGAGCACAAATTGGAACACATCTCCACCATTACAACCGTTGGATGAAACCAACTTCTACATAGATAAGACAAAATAGCACAAGGGTGGGAATTAACAGCTATCTAATATTTGTAAGGCCCTAACATTTGGACGGAGTCCAATGTGGGGAGGAAAGAGAGGATATAAAGGATGAGCTCCTCCGGAAGATCGTTTAGTTTCGAGTGGTTGGGGCTTCACTGCTCGTCTCTTCCATCCTCGATTGATTGATTCTTTCGTTTCATTTTTGCTTCTGCAATCGGCAGAGCATTTTACCAAGTCTCTGATAGTGATTTCCAAATCGGTTTTTCATTTTTGGGTAAACTGCCGTTTTACCCTTGAATTATTACCCAGTTGAAACTGTCACCTAATTACATTCCAGGTAAATTCACCTTGACTATTTGAAAATAAACCAATTAACTCCTCATCTCATCATCAGATTCGATGAAATTTCATTCTTTTTACTATCAAATACTGGTACGACCATCACATTCAATAAAATTTTATCCATCATGTCGTCAAATACTGATACAACTTTAAATCACGTGCATGTCATACTCTGAAGTATTGTAGCCATACTATTTGATTTCGGGTGTGCTATCTACACTCTTTTTTACTTCTCACACGCCTTTTTAATTTTCGACAATCGGATCGGATGAATTGAATAAGATCAAGGATATAAATTAACAAGGGGTGTGTGAAAAGTAAAAAGAAGTGTGTGGGTAACATACCCCTATAATTTTTTGAGGTGAAAACTTAAAAACAATGGAGATGCAGGGTGATTAAAATGATTGATGGTGAACAAAGCAATTCTATTGAATTCAAATCTCAATGACCAGAGTTAGAAGTTGTGTCAATCTCATGGACCACTTTGAGTTTAATCAAAAGGACAAAAAAATGTTGTAAGTGAATAGCACTAAGAGTGACTTTTTAAAGTAAAAATGTCCTTAACGTTAAAAGTAAACAGTACTATGAATGTTTTATTAAAACTCCCATTATATAATGCAATTTAGTAATGAGATTTATATGTTTCAGCAACTTAATTTGCTCATAAAACATGCTGCAAACTCTTCATATATACAAGAACAAGAAAATGCAGTCTCAGTCAATGCACTCATAGAAATATAATTAGAGAGCTCAATCCAAAAGTCTAATTCAATATCCGAAAACAGCAGTTGAAAGTTGAAAGTTGAAGGTCTCAGAGCTCCAGGATTTTGCATTCCCCATTTAAACCTCATAGTCTATCCACTATTTGGTTCTGTGACTATCTCCCAAGCTTGTGAAACATTTCTATTTAGAATTATCGGAGGAAGCGGTTCGTTCTGGCCAACTTCGTCGGGAAGAAGTACAATCTTTTCCAGGACAACTCCTTGCCTCAGCAAGATTTTCACAAAACTACCTTGTCTTTTTCGGCCGTTAAACGCTTTCATTTTAACTTGCTTGAGACTTGGCATGCTCAAATGAACTGGTTTCTTTAAGATCTCTTCTGGTAAACTCTCCTGGAATTTAGAACATCAAATTTTAGATATGCAGCACAAAACGTAAAATAGGATGATAAATAACATCAAGCATTGCTATAATTCTGTATGTGAAAGTACTCACATCTTTCTCCATCTTGAAAGGGGATTCTACAATCAGTGTCTCGAGATTGGCACAAAGTTTAAGCAGTGCAGCCATGCCAACGAGATCATATCGGGTAAACCCAGTTCGCAGCACCAACAGCTTCAGATTGTGGAGAACAAAACTTTCGGGAAAAGTATTCTTTGATGTCAGAAACTGAGGGCACATGCAAAGGAAACAATTACGAATATCAGAAGATGTTCGACAACATAATCCCTCTAAGAACCAGTAGGTTAAGCGGTAAAAAATGAAATTTGAAAACCCCCCCAGTCCGCAAAGGTTAACCCCACAGCAATGAAGCGGACAGAGTAAGAAAGCTATTAAAGCCTGTCTAGCACAGAATCACATGGCTGGTTAGTAAGACAGGCTACCAGATCTTATTTCCAGAAACACAATTTTAAGATAATTAGTTCCGAGGGATGATCTGAAAAACGCAATCTCCAGGAGAGACAACTATGCACCAGTGGTTAATTATAACTTAATTCTGCTCCTTAGAATGAGTGATAATCAGGGTAGTCTTCTTGGATAAGAAACAATAGACAGGACCTTATGTTGGTAGTTCGACTTCAATTTTCCAAAACACTTTTGTGCAATGTCATTAAGTTAAAAACATCTCATTGATACATTTTGAATGAGAACTCCATACCCAATAATGTTTTAATAACTTATTGCCACAAGCAATTAGGTGGAGCAACCAGAGTGATCGGAAGTTCCATTTTCTTCCCAATGTCATTTATCACGACAAACATCACTATGCTTGGTGAAGAAACGTAAATGGAGGATATCTAGTTTTATCAAAAACCAAAAACATTGGCACGAGAAATGCATACTAAGCTACAAAACACAAAACAACAGGACATATAATAGTCGACAAATTCTCTGGGAGAACAATCCATGACCAATTTGTGTAAATTAAAAACTAATCAATTCCTCTGTATAGACCAACCCCTGTAGTAACGAGCAGACCTGAATAGTTAATTACCCTTCCATCTTTCTTCCGATTCCAAGATTCAACGATAAGCTACGAAAGCCTTACATTCTCTCATGTTATTTTCTCTTTCAATTCCTAAAAGACACAGTTACATTCACAAGTGCACGGCTGCATATCCTTGGCTGAAAAACACCGAGAACCCTTACACATACTTCAAAAACCAACCAGATCGCTACATATATACATATATACATATATATATATATGGCATAATTCCACAATGATATATATAAGAAACAAGTCAAAAGATTACCTTGAACCACCAATTTTGCACATTAAGATGCTTAACATTTGGTACTTGTTCGAGTAGCCTAACAACATTACTCCAAGGACGATACGATTTATCAATTTGATGCGGAAAATCAACATGAAACTCAACCAAAGAAGAAGCATTCTTAAGTACACACTCTTCAAAGTCACAACGATGAATACTGATCGAACAAAGCTTCGGGCAATCAACCAGTAACGTCTGCTTCTTCTCTGTGATATACCCAAATTCAAGTATTAGCCTTTTAAGACTTGTGCTGCATATCTCCAAATGGTGAGGCCCCAAACAGCCGTTAATTTCGAAAACCTCCATATTGGGGCAAGCAGATAACAGATCCTTCACGGCCGGGTCCTCCAAATAAACGTGATCGAAACAGATGAACCGAATCGACCCGAACCGCATGGTGGACAATTTCGCCGGCAGAGTAAGATCACAACGCATGAGGATCAATTTCTCAACACACCCATTTCTAAGAAGAGAGAAACGGAAATCATAGATGTGGTTCCGGCCTTCGTCATTGTGAAAATTAAGGTCGATGAAGAAGTGGAGGTAGAGCTCCCGAGCGCGGAGGTTGGTGACGGCGGATCGGAGCCAGGAGTCGACGTGGGAGGCGTAGTAATGGTGGTAGATGAAAGAGAGGCGGAAGGTGTGGACGGGGGAATTGGGGCGGGAAATGAGGACGCGGTCGATGAACTCGGCGTAGAAATCGCGGGTGTCCAGCGGCGGCTCGTACGGCGGGAAGAGTTGGTAGTTGAAGTTGAGGGAGGGGACGCGGGACCAGAGGGGCCGCCATTTGCGAGAGATGAGGGAGGTTTGGACGGAGTCCAATGTGGGGAGGAAGGAGAGGATGTGGAGGAGGAGCTCCTCCGGAAGATCGTTTAGGTTTCGAGTGTTTGGGGCTTCACTGCTCGTCTCCTCCATCCTCGATTTCATTTAATTTTTGCTTCTGCAATCGGCAGAGCATTTTGCCAAGTCTCTGATACTGACCTCCAAATCGATTTTTCCTTTTTGGTTAAATTGTTACCCAGTTGAAACTGTCACCTAATTACATTTCGGGTAAATTCACCTTGACTATTTGGAAATAAACCAATTAACTTCTCAATTGTCAAATTCGATGACATTTCATTCTCGTCAAATACGGGTATGGCCGTTACATTCGATAAAATTGCATCCATCTTGTCGTCAAATATTAGTACAACTTTAAATCACGTACATGCCACCATTTGGTATGACTTTACTTCTCACACCTTTTTAATTTTCAATAATCAGATCGGATGAATTGAATAAGATCAAGTAATATAAATTAACAAGAAGTGTGTGAAAAGCAAAAAAAAAAAAAAATGTGCGGGTAGCATACCTCTGTGAGTTTTTGAGGTGAAAACTTCAAAACAACGGACGTGCAAGGTGATTAAATGATCGATGGTTAACAAATCACTTCTATTGAATTCAAATCTCAAGGACAAGAGTAAGAAGTTGTGTCAATGGACCATTTTAGTTAAAAACCTTTCCCAAATTATATGCTGCAATTTAGTATTGAGATTTATATGTTTCAGCAACTTAATTTGCTCATAAAACATGCTGCAAACTCTTCATATATACAAGAACAAGAAAATGCAGTCTCAGTCAATGTCATAGAAATCGAATTACAGAGCTCAATCCAAAAGTCTAATTCAATATACAAAAACAGCAGTTGAAAGTTTAAAGTTGAAGGCCTCAGAGCTCCAGGGTTTTGCATTCCCCATTTAAACCTCATAGTCTATCCACTATTTGGTTCTGTGACTATCTCCCAAGCTCGTGAAACATTTCTATTTAGAATTATCGGAGGAAGCGGTTCGTTCTGGCCAACTTCGTCGAGAAGGAGGACAATCTTTTCCAGGACAACTCCTTGCTTCATCAAGATTTTCACAAAACTACCTTGTCTTTTTCGTCCGTTGTACGCTTTCATTTTAACTTGCTTGAGACTCGGCATCCTGAAATGAACTGGTTTCTTTAAGAGCTCTTCTGGTAAACTCTCCTGGAAATTAGAACATCAAATTTTAGATATGCAGCACGAAGCGTAAAATAGAATGATAAGTAACATCAAGCATTGCTATAATTCTGTGTGTAAAAGTACTCACGTCTTTCTCCATTTTGAAAGGATATTCTAGAAACAGTGTCTCAAGATTGGGACAAAGTTTAAGCAGTGCAGCCATGCCAACGAGATCATATTGGGTAAACCCAGTTCGCAGCACCAACAGCTTCAGATTGTGGAGAATAAAACTTTCGGGAAAAGTATTCTTTGATGTCAGAAACTGAGGGCACATGCAAAGGAAACAATTAAGAATATCAGAAGATGTTCGACAACATAATCCCTCTAAGAACCAGTAGGTTAAGCAGTAAAAAATGAAATTTGAAAAACCCCCAAGTCCACTAAGGTTAACCCCGCATCAATGAAGCGGACAGAGCAAGAAAGCGATTAAAGCCTGTCTAGCACAGAATCACATGGCTGGTTAGTAAGACAGGCTACCAGATCTCATTTTCAGACACAATTTTAAGATAATTAGTTCCGAGGGATGATCTAAAAACCGCAATCTCCTGGAGAGACAACTATGCACCAGTGGTTAATTATAACTTAATTCTGCTTCTTAGAATGAGTGATAATCAAGGTAGTCTTCTTGGATAAGAAACAATAGACAGGACCTTATGTTGGTAGTTCGACTGCAATTTTCCAAAACACTTTTGTGCAATGTCATTAAGTTAAAACATCTCATTGATACATTTTGAATGAGAACTCCATACCCAAAAATGTTTTAATAACTTGTTGCCACAAGCAATTAGGTGGAGCAACCAGAGTGATCGGAAGTTCAATTTTCTTCCCGATGTCATTTATCACCACTCACATCACTATGCTTGGTGAAGAAACGTAAATGGAGAATATATAGTTTTATCAAAAACCAAGAATATTGCCACAAGAAATGCATACTAAGCTACAAAAAACAAAACGATAGGACATATAAGAGTCGACAAATTTTCTGGGAGAACAATCCATGACCAATTTGTATAAATTAAAAACTAATCAATTCCCATGTATAGACCAACCCCTGTAGTAATGAGCAGACCTGAATAGCTAATTACCCCTTCCATCTTTCTTCCGATTCCAAGATTCAACGATAAGCTACGAAAGCCTTACATTCTCTCATGTTATTTTCTCTTTCAATTCCTAAAAGACACAGTTACATTCACAAGTGCACGGATGCATATCCTTGGCCGAAAAACACCAAAACTATGCCTTTCTATGAGAACCCTTACACATACTTCAAAAACCAACCAGATAGCTACATATATTGGCATAATTTCCACAACGATATATATGAGAAACAAGTCAAAAGATTACCTTGAACCACCAATTTTGCACATTAAGATGCTTAACATTTGGTGCTTGTTCGAGCAGCCTAACAACATTACTCCAAGGACGATACGACCTATCAATTCGATGCGGAAAATCAACATGAAACTCAACCAAAGAAGAAGCATTCTTTAGTACACACTGTTCAAACTCACAACTATCAATACTGATCGAACTAAGCTTCGGGCAATCAACCAATAAAGTCTGCTTCTTCTTTGGGATATACCCAAATTCGAGTATTAGCCTTTTAAGACTTGTGCTGCATATCTCCAGATGATGAGGCCCCAAACAGCTGTTAATTTCCAAAACCTCCAAATTGGGGCAAGAAGATAACAAATCCTTCACGGCCTGGTCCTCCAAGTAAACGTGATTGAAACAGATGAATCGAATCGACCGGAACTGCATGGTGGACAATTTCGCCGGCAGAGTAAGATAACAGCTCGTGAGCGATAATTTCTCAACACACCCATCTCTCAGAACATAGAAAGGGAAATCGTACGTGGGTTTCTCCTCGTCACGAACATCGGTTTCGATGAAGAAGTCGAGAAAGAGCTCCCGAGCGCGGAGGCGGGCGACGGCAGATCGCACCCAAGAGTCGACAGTGGAGCGGTAGTGTTCGTCGTAAAGGAAAGAGAGCCGGAAAGTGTGGAGGGGATAATTAAGGCGGGAAATCAGAGCGCGGTCGACGAACTCGACGTAGAACTGGGAGGTATGGGAAGGATGCTCGTGCGGCGGGAAGAGTTGGTAGTTGAAGTCGAGGGAGGGGACGCGAGACCAGAGGGGCCGCCATTTCTGGGAGATGAGGGAGGTTTCGACGGAGTTTAGTGTGGGGAGGAAGGTGAGGATGTGGATGAGGATCTCGTCGGGGAGATCGTTTAGGTTTCGATTCGTGATTGCGGTGGTAGGGTTTTCATTTGTTGGCTCCATCGCAGTTTGCTGAGTTTCGGTTTTCTTTCCCCGTCAGCAAGGCGTTTTATTTCCTGTTAAACAACGGGAAAATGTTAGCGATCTTTGCGTATAATTTAATGTTGGAGTGTCCCATTCACACATATTTTTTTACTTTTCATATGTTCTTGTTAATTTCTATCCATTGATCATCTTTAATTTATCTGATTCGACGGTCGAAAATTAAAAAGGTATGTAAGAAGTAAAAAAAGGTGTGATAATGTTACGTATAATTTAACTGTTATATTTTTTATTTTTATTTTTGGATAAATTACATTTTACCTCTTTCTTTTTCTTTTTCCTTTTTATTTTTTTTATTTTTTTAAATATGGAAACTGGAGATGTATTACCATGGCAAAGATGCCAAACAGCTACAAAGAAAGTCTACACCAAGGCCAACAGAGAACAGAGCAGCAAAACAAAGTAGTGAAGGGGATAAGAAGAAAGACACAAGAACTTGATTCAAGTGTCACCCCATCAACTGCCACCGGACGTTAAGGGGGACAAGGTATGCCATCCTTATTGATGACATGTACCAATGAAGATGGGGGTCTGCATACCCAAGTGGTGTTGCACATATCCGTACTTATGCGCAACGCCAAAGTATCCACCGTCGTATTGGCTAACCTTGGAATCCAAGACCAGCTACAGTCCTGAAAGGACTTCCCTAACCGCTGAGCAACCGTTAAGGTAGGAAAGGCCTCCCATCTGCCATTGTCCGATGAAGTAGATAAAGAGGAAATCATGTCCTTCGAATCGGACTCAATGATGATTCTACGAAGCCCTAAAGAGGCAGCCAATTGACACCCTCTTAAAATAGCCACAGCTTCAGCCGTGGTTGCATACGTAGCTTGAACCTCAGACCAGACTACAGCCACAAACAAATCCCTCTCATATCTGATGACAACCCCAACAAAACCAGTAAGAGATGATGCAGACCAGCTAGCATCCACATTTACCTTGAGGAAATGAAATGGAGGAGGAGACCACCGAGTCGCCAGAACTTCTCCCGTGGTGATAGGCGAGGAAGAAAGAGGATGAGCTTCCATCACTCCCGTGGTGATAGGCGAGGAAGAAAGAGGATGAGCTTCCATCACTCTGAGGAAGACACCTATGGAAGTGGAATGGCAAGAAGAACTTGGGAAGGATTAATAGGAGAGTGATTAAACAGAAAGTTACACATTGCTTTCCAGATATGCCAACAAGTGAAGGCAAATTTTGGATGCCTTCTTTTTTTTTTTTTTCCTTTTTTTTTGCTGATATTTTTTTCGAAATTAATAAAGAAAGAAAATGTAGGGTGGTGAATGGGGACTGGTAGAGGGAAGGAAATGGTTGATCTGGGGAGATAGAAGGGAGGGGAGGGGAGGGGAGGTGAAGAGAGTGGAGGACAGGGATGTGGGTCGAGGAAGATGGGTTTTAGCGTTTTTTTTTTTTTTTTTTTTTTTTTTTTTAATAGGATAAATTCTTATCTTTTAAATGCATAATTTTTGCCACGTGACATAAATTTGACAACCACGTCAGCACAAATGTGGATCTTATATTTGCCACGTCATCACTTAACGGATTTTAAAGAGAAACTGAAATATTTTAAAGATGTTGTATAAGGTTATAATCGATTCCAAACCTGAGGGAGTAAAATGTAATTTATCCTCTTTTTTTTTTTGTTAAATTTCATTAAAAGATAAAGCTAATACAAAAATGAGGATGATTGAAGGAAAGAGTCCAAAACTGTCAAGCAAAGCCGAACTCCACATGAAGAAACTACAATGAAATTGGCTCAAAAGAGACTGCCTATACTAACACAAAAGCTAAATACCTAGAATTGAAAAAAGCAAGCAGCCGCCTCCACCATATCAACTGCTCGACGACTGCCGAGTTGCCACCACCTAGAAGAAGAACCAATGAACCAAATGAATCAACATAAAATTGGGGTAGACAAGCCACTCGCCTTATGAGCGCTTCCATAATTTTACCAAATAGTGCGAAAAACACTTTAAAAGCTGCTGATCACCAAGGAGTGCCGCTAGAGAAGATCCATGAAGGCAACATCTATGAATTCTCTCATCTCCAAATCTCTCCTCCTATTTGAACGGTTACGATTAAGCTATATTAACATCTTGTGTTGACTTTTTATAGAAAGAGAAAGACAAAGAGAAAAGTATGAAAGGAGGGGAAGGAAAGGAAGGAGATTAGGAGGAGAATCCTAGTCCATATTCCAGATGATATCCCTTGGTGTATATTTTTTTACAGATGATATAGTCTTGATAGATAATCACTGAACTCCACCCCTTCTTCCGGTGACCCTGATGTAGAGGAAGACAGCGACAGAAATGGTAGTGAGAAGCCCGGCAATAATAATACCACCACCAGCCACCGAATTAGTAGCTTTCTTTTCACCTTCTCCAGTCTTTCCACCCTTTCCAACAGGTCCCAAACGCCGGAAAGATGGAGCTTCCGTCGCTGCGACTTCTTCCATGCTCTCACTATCCGACGATGGCTCTGCCGCAGTGGAAGCAAAGTGTTCTGTATCCCTGCCCAAATCATCAGATTTCTTGGCAGCCATTGCAGAAACCAGAAGGAACCCAGCAAGGAGGACGGAAATAAGACCAAGTCTTGCCATTGGGTTGAAAGTTTGAGAGTTTGAGAATCTGGGTATTATTTGGTTTGGAATTTGACGCTTTTAGATGCTGAATGACTGAACCTTTGGTTAGGGTTGGGAGAGATTTGGGAGGAGCTGGGGGTTTTATAGAGGGGAATGAATATGTGGTGTTAATTTGAGGTTTCTCCTCTCAGTTGCTTGGTGCTCAAGGGAATATGGTGTTGGGGGAGGGTAGGTCCCATGTGTGATGTGTGTGAGAGAGAGCTAAAACTATTTTTGGGGTGTCCGAACCATCATCTAGCTCTCATTTCATTCGATGCATGCCACCGTATTATTATAAAATTCTCAAAAATGCTATAAGAAGTTATAAAGGCATACTTTTTTGGCCGCACATTCAATTCTCTATTCATATCCTCTAAAATAAAGTGGAATTCTGGAAAATACTAAATGAAGTTATGAACGCATCGCCGGTTCTTTTTTCACATTTTCATGCGCATGCTTCCATTTCCTCAACATTTATGTGACTTAGGTTTAGGTGAACTCACTGGTCAATGCTCCCTGTGATCAACCAGAACAAGGACAAATTAACCAGGATGGCGTCATCCCTTCCCAATGACAATTTAGCCGGATTGAGTGGACATGGTTTCCACTTGGAACTACCATAATTAGTGTTAGGTTTATTTTTAGTTACGCTGTTGGAACTCGACTTTGATCTCATTTTGTTTTTTGTAACGTAAAAGTCATCACTTTACTTACTGCAACTCAATATGCGCTCCATTTTATCATGTTTATGTTTTTTCTGTCAAGTTCACTCCATTTTGATCTCACTTTGACTCTTGGAACTCGATTTTGATTTCACTTTGCACTTTAAAACTCAAAAGTCGTCATTTTGCTCCTTAAAGCACACTTTCTGAAAAGCACAAGCAATTGTAGTTGGTTTCATCCGACTCCACATTAGTTTTACAAGTCTGAGTGTGATATCCCATACGAATGAATTGTTGCACAAAATAACTTCTTCAATTTATACCCACAAAAAATTCTAATATATGATCAAGATATATCGAGTTCAGGTACATCGATCTATTATCACGTTCACTCATAACTTTATGAGAACTTAAGAAGGATTATTTATGTGAATTTGCCATCTTGAACTACAACGACACATAAGATATGATAATAGTGACATGTATTATTTGATTGTAATGTTTAAGGGAGCTTTGTGGTCCTATAGTGGCCATGTGTTGGACTGGTAAGTTGCAACTATCACATAGGTTCTTCCTAAGGTCAAGACTTGAGTGCATAATTAGGTTAGTTGGGGATACCTGTGGCCTTGGTTTTTCAGTTGAGGTATGTTAATCCTGCCCTTAAATTCGAATCCCATGTTTGCCTGGCATGATAGATGCAACACATTTGTCGGCATGTTTGTGCCCATAATGTCAATAGCAAACCATGTCTTTGGCCTAATAGCATTGGCAACGACTACCTTATCCAAATTCTGACGGCTTAAGATACTTCATGCTTCAATGCTTCATGTTGCAGAACTCCAGGAAATGGATCGAGCGGTGGTCCTGGTGAATCGGAGATAGTGCTCCATCGGCATTCCAAGCTCGATGTCGTGCTTCATGCTTGTTGTATGTTTCACATGCAGTGCACGAAAGATCAGAATGAGTCGGCAGAATGCAGTGCATTGCCTCAACACCTCCAAGAGCTTGGATACCGTCATTCTCTTGGCCAGCACTTCTTATAATATCCGACCATATTTTCGTTATTGGGATCCGGATGCTCAGTCAGAAATCGCTGGAAAAGTTCTCGAGCCTCCTCGCAAGTGAAGCTGAACAACATACGCACCCCGTCCATGTGCCGGGAGTAGAGCCTGATAGGATGAGTCTTGGACTACACGTTTGTTTAGAACTGTGTTAGATAACCAAAAGCTCTTTCAGAAAACCAAAAACGCTTATGTCAATCACATGAAAAAAAGTTGAAAAGGTTCCAGACTCGTAAAAGCACTCAAAATTGCTTCCACCAAAAGTACCTGATTTGGCAGTGCTAGTGATAATTTTTAAAACGGGCGCTTAGTGATAATTTTTTCGAGGATTTTTACAATTATAGACCCTAAACCCTAATTGATGGATGTAGAGCCTACAATAAACTCATTAACGGTCGGAAACCACTAATGCCCATGGCATGCCCCATGCTTATACGAATGTGTCAAAACCTGAAGGACGCAGATCTTAAATCGCTTTATAAAATCAAAAGACAACAGATTGGAACGAATGAAAACTTCATCCAACCCAAGTGTACTTCGACTGATAAAATAAAAAATTGCTCATCTCCCACAATCACCGAGCATGTATGCTGAATATGTACATTATGCCCAAGAAGATCAAAGACCGACTCTTCATTCATCATCTCGATCCTCATTTGTTCGATCTACATTTGTCGTATCATCATTCTCTACATTAGATGAAAGACCATTCACCTGATCCTCATCCTGATCAGCACAATCCCCCGAGTGGTCTGATCTCGCTGAGGATTCTGAACCTGCAGATGATGCTAACAAGGGAAGGGATGACAGAGTTTTTGTTGATGAAGATTCCTTTGATAAAGTGGAAATTGAGATATTAGGGAAGTTAAGCCGGGCAGCAGAACAATACACGGCCCTTGCCGCTTCATCATAAGCAAGAGCAGCTTCAATGGCAGTTGGAAAAGTGCCTAGCCAGAGCCTACTTCCCCTGTTGGGTGTCCGGATCTCTGCAACCCACTTGCCCCATGTCCTCTGTCTAACACCTCTGTAGTTACAGCGAGAGTTCTCAGGTCCTCCCTTACCCTTCATACATCCCTTCTTTGATCCCTTGGCTGGTACTCTACGGAACGGTCCAACCTCATCATTGCATGAATCCAAATGGTCGTTGTACTCTTTCCACTTCGCAAGAGTCTCGGCCACAGGATTAGGTCCATCCCGTCTTGTATCAATCTTGACCAACTTGGGCATGCAGTTCAAATTGTATTGAACAACAGGAAAAATAATGATGAGTAACCTGCCAATACAAAGAGGACTTTGTCTTTAGAAATGACCTTTATTACCAAAGCAATACTTAATCACTGGTAAACTTCTTGCTTCAACTCCATGCACCACACACGCAATACCCGATCAAACCAATATATGGGCGCAATGCAACTACAATTCCTTCTAGTACTGATCAGTGTACACTGAAACTAACAGAAATGCAGCTCCTAGACGGCGACCTCTTGAAGCTCCCTCCGGAGTGAAGGGCTATCACAAAAGGAGTTGTCTTTCTAAGGTAGAAAACGCAGATGATTTCGCTACCTTCGAAAGATTAAGATTTTTAACCTCTAAAAAGCATGATTAAGCATGGAGAAATTGGATACGGTACTAACCTAACACATTTTTCAAATTAGCAGCTGCCATCAACTTATCGAGAAAATGCACTCTTTAAGCTAGACACTAGACTACTCACCCCCAACAACTTTATCATTGGACAAAACAATAGATTCTTAAAAAGGTGACCTTAAGCCAACAAGGCTCCTCGCTTTGCGACAGTCGGGGAAGGAACGCCTATTGTGCGCAGCCTTACCCTTGCTTTGCAAAGAGACTGTTTTCACGACTGGAATCCATGACCTTTTAATCACAAGGGAACAACCTTTCCGTTGCGCCAAGGCTCACCCTCAAAACAATAGATTCTTAATCACGAAAATTACCTCCAACTTCTTAATTTTCGAATGCACGAAAGGCACGACACAAACATACAAACAGTCAATCAAAAGGTTGACTTTTTCAGCAATACGATTCCAAATTTCCAAAAAACCACATGAATTTCTCTTCAATTTTCCCGCACAAACCATTCAAACCAAGCAACTAATCAACTAAGATTTTCCACTGTAATTTACATTACCTTTCCAATTAAAAAAATAAATAAATAACAAAATTTAACTAAGATGAACATTGTCATATAGCTCTATCGAAAATTATAAAAAATTAAAATTAAGATGAACATTACCCAAAACTAAGATGAACATTACCCTTCCTACAGCCTCAACTTTGCAACTTAAAAAATTTATATACCAAAAATCTAAAATTATGGATGAAAAATAAAATCTGTCAAATAATTTTTAAACTAGCACAGATCTCAGCAAAATTTGATTTAAAAAAAAAAAAATCGAAACTGTTACCTTGTTTTTGTTCCGGGACCCCCTTTAAGAATTGAGGCGCTGGTATCTGAAGAGGGGGCAGCGGAGCTTGGAAGAGAAAAATGGTCAATGCTCCATGGAAAGAGAGTTTGAGATTCAAGCTCACAACTGACACAGCACAAAATGACAAGGGAAAAAACCAAATAAGCCCTAAACGCCTCAGTTTTGCCCCGAGATGGATTTGTAAATTTTGGAGCTCTTTTTTTTTAATCTTGGGATTTTTCTCATTATTTGAATTTTAGACACTAGTTCCGGCCCAAATATTGTCAAGTGTGGGATGAAAGAGAGCCCATGAACCTAATAATTTTGGGCTCAAAACCTAAATGAAGGTTTATTTTTTATCACTAGTGTCTTTGCACGCACTTTCGCATATACAAGAGATATTTTTTAAATTACGAACGTTATGCACCCCTAAAAATGTATTTCACACCGAATAATCAGTTTGCTAACACATTAGCCACGCCGCTCTCCGAGTCATAGTGATATCGTATTTCTAAGCACTCTAAAAAAACTATAAGCATTTTCAGCCTGTCACTTACGGTATTTCTTGTTTATTGCAAAAAATATATACAATATGAACTACTTATAAGCCTTCAAGTCAAAACATAACTCGAGGGATAAGGGCACTAAACCATGGTTCATACACGATTGATTGTCTATTTAGTATCCTTTTGTTTTTTAGTTAAAATTTTTAATTTTGTTATTCTTTTTGGGAATGATTTTTGCACACCAATTTTCTTTCCTCTTTAATGCTATTAAATAAATCAAAGTAAAATCCAGAGATAAAAACAATGCCTTAGACTCTTAGAGTACAGAAGGAAAAAAACATGAGTGAAAATCATTATTCTTTCCAAATCAATAGAGTGTCAATCTAAATATGGTGTCTAAGATCTCTATTCTCATAATCATCCTACATCCTAATTTATTGACATGACACTCGTGGTTTGGATAGTTTCCTATGATTAGTAATCCTCTTCATTTGTAAGTGAAAGACAAATTCGATTCTTATCAAAGGTGAATTCAAACCAAATTATTGTTGGCTAACCCATTGTAAGGCTTACTCTACTCCCCTGCCTTTAATGTAGACAATATCACATGTATTCAAAATAGTCACTATTCCATTCCAAAAATAAAAATGGCTAACCATGTAAAGCTTGGATTTGATTCGTGACCATTATACAATCGCCACCTCATGTTACTAATACATGTACTTACGATGAAATATTTTCATACATTTTTGTTAGGCTCTTTGTAATTAAATCTATGATATTCTTTTTATTTTTTATTTTTTTTATTTTTATAAATAGAGACCAACTACTGATTTTGTCACGGTAGTCTATTTTATCAGGGGTTAGGAAAACTCACACAAAGGCATTTCGGCCCCCCTCTACCCGCCATCATAGGATTCACACACGTTAAGAATCGAACCATGTACTTGCTGTGTGGAATACAGACTTAGAATTCGTCCTCAACCATTGAACCATCCATAGTTAAATCTATGATATTCTCTAAAAGCATCTAATTTTCTCCTTTACATATAATATACAGTTCATTTTTCTGTTCAACAAATGCATAATATCGCTTTTAGGTCATCGTACATTTAGCTTTGTCTCCCACTTTGATCACTTCATATACAATGAACTCCAAATTCGATGCCATCATTGTCTTTCTGTGGATGTTCCGATGCTTTCACTTGTATCTTGTACTCAATGATCGATCAACCCTTTTTCCGGTCTTTAAAATTCGGTGGGCATCAATGGGATGGGACCTTATGTGTTTACTCACACAACACATATAATTATTGCCTTTACTATTGATCATCCACCTTATCTTATACTTCTTAAATGAGTGGTAGCTCCATCTCTTCATAGCACTAGAGCTGAGCAGTCTTTGTCATGAGCTTGTAAGTCTCAGTGTATGACGTTCGTCTTTTGAAAAATTTAATTTTGTTCGATAATGAGTTGATAGCATTTTGATATATTATTTACTAACATTATTGACACTTTATAGACAATCCGTCATTTTCGTTCGGGTTCAGAGCTATAATTTTATATGATCTTAACTCTTAAGCATTACTTTAAGTTGAAGAGGGACCTTAGGTGAGTCATTTAGTTTGTTATAATAATATGGCTTCATTTAGCTTTTATGCTTTTTTACAGCAATAAAAAAGCCTTATTCTACTAGGAGGGAGGTTTTATGAATTTTAGAACGTCATTGTGCTTGGTTTTGTGACAAGTCTTCTATTAGCTCGAAGTACTGTATGTCGGTCTTCCTCTACCTTTTTATCCCGAGCCTTTGTCTTATAATCGCATCTTCTAACTAGAGTATTTGTAAGTACTCTGTTCACGTGTCCAAATTATCTTAACCAATTTTCTTTTATTTCAGGCTTTATGTTATGCAAGATAATTTTGCGCACTAGTTTTCTCCTTCTGCACAATTTTTTCTAAGTACAATGATATATTTTTATACTAAGAGGAAGAGGAGTTTGGCTAAGCCACACAATGGACAACCTAATTTGGTATCGAATTCGTCATCCATGAGATTCAAACCTAAGACCTCTCACTTACAAATGAAGAGAAATATCATCAGATCATAGTACTAAGTGGCACATTTTTATTTATTTTTATCTTTTAATTCTTGCTAGTGTCCTCTTCCATTATTTACAATGCCCCAGATTAATTCAATGTGATTGGAGAAATATCACCTCCTTCCACATCCCCCTTCTTATCCTTTCTTATATGGGGGACCTTAGTCCTTTGAATTATGTCCAAAAATCATTAGCACAAAAGCAGTAAAGTTATCCCAAATTACACTCGGTTTTGGACTGTAGTGAAACACCTAATTGAAGATTTGATGACCCAAAAAAAGGAGCCTTTATGATCCATAAAATTAACTAAAAAAAGCTATTTTATTAACTCAATCATGCATATAATGCTAAATTTTAATCACTATAGGGTCTTTCACACGTTTGTCGCAGGGGCTATAAGTAAGCCTTGGCTCAACAATAAGCTTTTTAATTAAAATGGTATCAGAGTGATCTTTGAGATTAACATAACTCATTATTTTGGTTTTGAAATTTGAAATCGATAGAAGTGGTTCATGAGTTTGTTCACCGTCAATCATTTTGGTCATTCCGTGAAAATCCATTAAATAAGACTAAAATAACAAATATACACATAGATTTTGTCAAATCATTTGGTATTATTGTTTATTAAATTGAGGTTATATCAGTCTCAGAAGCCAAATGAGAAGTTATGCTAATTTCAAAAACTATTTTAACTAAAATACTCTCAACAATATTAGCAAGAACGCAACATAACCGTTTTTTTTTATGCAAACGACAATCTACACCACTTTAGAACGAGAAATAACTCGAGAAAAGCAGAAAGAGAAACTTTCAAAGTGTATTATTGTTATATTTCTTTGATTTCTTCCTCTCAAAGACTCAAACTCTTGTGTTGTCTAAGACAATGTCAAGTAATGTCATATCAGTGTTAAAAATACAAGGTAACAACTACCGACAAAGACTTTGTTCCCACATTCCTCTTTTACAAGGAAAGTGATTTGAAGTCCGTGACTCAAAAATTTGAATCACAAACACTTATGGCCTATCACTTTGGCTCCTTTTTACTTCACTTTAATCATGGACTCCAATTATTTAGTACCCAGTGGTCCAATCCTCCTTTTTTTTGGTAAAAATCCAATCCTCCCTTATACTTGATGGAAGATACAATCTACTTACGATTGAGTTTTTTGTCCAAATGGTGATTGGCATTTGAAATCGATAGAAATGATCTATAAGTTTGTTCACCGTTAATTATTTTGATTATTCTGTAAAAATTTATATTAAATAAAAATCTAAATTTTTGTCATTTTATATTTATTTAACAGAGATTTTTTTACACAAGATTCAAAATGATTGGCGGTGAACAAACTCATAGACCACTTTTCTCGATTTTAAATTTCAGGGACCAAAGTGAGATGCTATGCTAATTTCAAGAACCATTTTGGCTAAAAAGCCATTACAATTTGAAATGTATGCGAAATTTTTATAAAAAACGACATTGAAGGAGGGAGAATCCTACGTAATAATTTTAGTTGTAAGAGTAAATATTCTTAACCAACCGAGCTACTCTACTACTTTTGCTCTTGTAGTAAGTTAAGATGAATACTCTTAATAAGCCGAGCTATACCCGAGTTGTTTTGAACTTACATCTTACCCCCACACAAAAATGATCAAAAGTTGGGGTTCACCATTTCTTTCATACGATTGTTTTTCCCGTGACCTAATCCACAGTGAAAGCATGCAACCTATACCATAATTGTACAATTTTTCGTAGTAGCAAGTCGGCAAAATTGGACAAAATCCCCCAAAGAGTTTGAAAAAGAGAACTTCATATTTCACATCAAAATTACCATACAACCCGAAAGCTACACGAGCAAAAGAAACAAGAAAAAATAAATTGAACAAAACATGAAGCACATGTTCATATATAGCTTTTTAACCCCCCCCTTCTTGATTTCTTTTATACAATGTTTCTTTCTTTCGCCTTCTCGTTCTCGATTGTTATTGCTCGCACCATCAACTAGTGGCGGTGGTGCACGCACTCGAGTGGAGTCACCGGAAACCTAGCGGAATCGGTGCAGTAGTCATAGACCATGTGGTGAGCCTTAACCCACACGAGCTGGTGGTTCTGGTGGAGATTGAGCTCGGACAAAGTAGGCTCATCCCACCAGTACTTCTGGTCACCACTGCTGCTGCACTTCTTTGCCTTATCTGCGGCTGCAAGAGAAACTGGGCACTCACAGGCATTGATGTCAAAGCCCTTGTAGGTTGCGACGAAGGGTGCATGGGACCAATCTGTCTTGACCCTACCACCCTGCGTGGCCCAGTCATCTGCATTCCAAATTGAACTGTAGACACCCATGGCTTGGTCCTTGGGGAAGGGCACCCCCTTGTTCTCCATGTTGGTGTGGACTCTAATGGGCGTCTCATCCACTAGGAACCTGACAAAAATAAAAACAAACAAAAAATGTCAATAATTGATGAAGAATATAATATAAGCCAATGTCTATTGTCAACCACTTATGCAAATCCCACATATAATTTTGCTTACTGGTCCTTTCTTTTTGTTTTAATATAATGGGTTTCTTTTGGGAACGTCAAAGATGAGA